GTTTTTTCAAATTTTCGATTTTTAAATTTTTCAAATTTGACATTTATAAACTGTCAATTTTTCGATTTTTCAATTAATCGATGTTTTGATTTTCCCATTTCTTGACTTTCGAGGGTTTCGATATTCCTGTTCTTCAATTCTTTAATTTTTCGATTTTTCATTTTTTTGTTTTTTCAAGGATTCGATTTTTTGACTTCACTTTTTGGATTTCGTTTGCTCAATTTTTCGACTTTTCTAGGTTCTCCTCACTTTTTGACTCCGGGATTTTTCGATGTGTCGATTATTTTACTTTTTCGAAAAAAGTTGATAATTTTCGATTTTTAAATTTTAGATTTTTTAATTTTTAAAATTTTAGATTTTTCGATTTCTCGATTTTTCAGTTCATTTCTTTGATATTTGAATTTTTCACGTTTTCGATTTCTGAATCTTTTGATTTTTCGACTTACCGGTTTTTTGTCAATTGTCATTTTGTCAAATTTTCGATTTTTCAATTTTTCAAATTTGACTTTCATAAACTCTGAATTTTTCGAATTTTCAATTAATCGAGGTTTTGATTTTCCCATTTATTGACCTTCGAGTGTTTCGATTTTCCTGTTCTTCAGTTCTTTAATTTTTTGATTTTTCAGGTTTTTGATTTTTCAATTTTTCAGTTTTTAGATATTTCAGTTTTAGGATTTTTTAATATTTCAATTCTTCGGCTTTTCTATTTTTGACTTCTGGATTTTTCGATGTGTCTACCTTTTTACTTTTTCGATTTTTCAATTTTTGGATTTTTAAATTTTAGATTTTTCAATCTTTTGATATTTTAATTTTTCAGTATTTCTTAATCTTTCGATTTTTCGACTTCCTGGTTTTAGATGTTCTGTCTTTCAATTTTTCGATTTGTTAATTTTTCATTCCCGATTTATCTAGATTTGATTGTTCGGGTGTTCGATTTATCAGTTTTTCAATTTTTTATTTTGGCCTATTTCGGTTTCTCAGTTTTTCCAGTTTTCCATTTTTTCGTTTTTTGATTTTTCCTATTTTCCAATTTTTCAATTTTTAACTTTTTGTTTGTCGATTTCTCTATTTTTCGATTTTTCGACTTCATCACTTTTCGATTTCTCCGTCTCTTGATCTTTCAAGCTCTCAATTTTTCAATTTTTCGAATTTTTTAGTTTTTTGATCTCTCGATTTATCGAGATTTTGATTTTTCGATATTTTGATTGTCAATTTCTCAATTTATAAATTGTTCAATTTTTAACTTTTCGATTTTGGCCTATTTCGGTTTCTCAATTGTTCGGTTTTTCGACTCCACGATTTCTTGATCTTTTGATTTTTGGATTTTCAGTTCTTCGATATTTCGATTTTTCAATGTTTCGGTTTTACGATTTTTTAAGGTTTCGATTTTCGATTTGAATTTTTAATTTTTTTTTCTCACTGTTAATATCATACAGTGTATCGAAAACAACCACAAAAATTGTCTCTAAAAACATTTAAAAATATGTAAAATCATAGTACTCGTAAAGATAAGACTGATTTTGGCAAATGATATACCCCTTAAGAAAAGAGATGGCTGGTGGGCGGGGTTTGCATTTGCTAAGATAAGACTGATTTTGGCCAATGGTATGTACTGTAAAATGGGAATTGAATTCTATTTTGAAAAACGATTTAATACAAACTCAGAAGTGGTCCCGCCCACCCACCCCTATTAAATATTCTATTTTCGAATTTTTCAATTTTTCAATTTTTTAATTTTTCATTTCTTCAATTTTTCGACTTGCAGTTTCACGATTTTTCAATTTTCCGATTTTAGAATTTTTTGTGTTCTAATTTTTGAAAACTATAAAGAAACTTTAAAATCGAAAAAGGAAAAAATAGAAAAAACGAAATATTGTAAAATCGGAATATTGAAAATTACACTAATTCGAAAATCGGATAAATGAGAAATCCAAAAATTGCAAAATTGAAAAATTTTAAAACTGGAAAATCGAGGAATTGAAAAGCCAGACTGAAAACTTGAATAAAAGAAATTGAACTAAACATTGAAAAATAAAGGAAATGAGAAAACGAAAATTTGTGATATTAAATCGAAAATAATAAAAATAATAAATCGGGAAAGTCGAAAATAAAATGAAAAGCTTGAAAAACTGAGGAAACGAAAAACTATTTTTAAAATGAAAACTAGTCAAATTAAAAGTCAAAAATTGAAGAAACGAATAATTAAAGAATCCAAAATTTGAAACATCGAAAATTAAACACTAAAAAAGTGAAGAATCGAAAAATTGAAGAATTAAAAATCGAAAAACTAAAAATTCAAATAGAAAAATTAGAAAAATAATGAAACTGAAAAACGAGAAGTTGAAAAATTAAAAAATTGAAAACCAAAAAATTGCAGAGAAAAATTAAAAAAGCATTGAAATTTTAAAAACTATTATTATTATTTATTTAAAATGAAAATTTGAAAATCAAATATTGAAAAAACGAGAGGTTGAAAAATTAAAAAATTGAAAACCAAAAAATTGCAGACCGAAAAATTAAAAAATCCAAATTTTGCAAAATCGAAAACTCGAAAACCGAAAAGTTGCAAATCGAAAAATTGAATAATTCGAAAACTGAAACATTCAAAAGTCGGAAAATCGAAAAACTGAAAAACTCCTAAATGAAAACTCGGAGAGTTGCATGTTGTAAAATTGAAGAAACCAAAAAAAAAATGAAAAATGAAAAAATTACAATTCGAAAAATTGTAAAAATATAGATAATAAAAACTGAAATGAAAATTGCAAATCGAAAAGTTGAAGAAATGAAAAATTGAAGGATCGACAAATTGAAGAATTAAAAATCGAAAAATTAAAAATTTGAATAAACGAAGAACTTTTAAAAACCAATAATTGAAAAATAGAAAAATTTTAAAAACTATTATTATTATTATTATTTACTTAAAATGAAAACTTGAATAAACGAAAAGTTGAAAAATTAAAAAATTGTAAACCAAAAAATTGCAGATCAAAAAATTGAAAAATCCAAAAATAAAAAAAATTGAAGAATGAAGAACTTTAAAAATAAAAAATCGGGAAAATTAAAAATAAAAATCATAAGCTGAGGAAACGAAATATTGAAAAATGAAAAATTGTAATTTCGAAAAATTTATTGCAGAATCGAACAAGCGTAAAATTTTAAACAATATTAGTATTATTCATTTTGCAAGTCAAGAAACTGAAAAATTGAAAAATTAAATATCGAAAAATTGAAGAACAATAGTTTTGAAATTCAATACTATTTAAAAGTTAAAAATTGAAGACGCGAAAAATTAAAAAATCCAAAAGTTGAAAATCGAAAATTAAAAACTCAAAAATTGCACATTGGAAAATTGAAAAATCAAAAAATTGAAAAGAAAATAAAAAGCCGAAACGAAAAATTGCAAACTGAAAATTTGAAGAATTAAAAAATTGAGGAATTAAAAATCGAAAAATTAAAAATTCGAGTAGAAAAATAATGAAACTAAATAATCCTAAAATCTGTATTATACAATTTTCGGTTAAGTCAGGTCATGTAAACTCGAATCAGCTTGGTAAGCTTGAGAAGTCACCCATTCTGCAATGAACTTGTGACTCTTCGAGAGATCGTCGAGCTCGAATTAATTGAAAAATCGAAAAATTGAGAGTTTATAAAAGTCAAATTTGAAAGATTAAAAAATCGAAAATTTGACAAAATGACAATTGAAAAACAGAAAATCTAAAACCGGGAAGTCGAAAAATCGATAGATTAAGAAATTAAAACATTTGAAAAATTCGAAAACATGAATAACGGAAATATCAATGGACTGAAATGAAAAATCGAAAAATCTAAAATTTTAAATATTGAAAAATTAAAATATCAAAAAACTGAAAAATCAAAAATTTAAAAGTCGAAAAATCGAAAGATTAAGAAATCGAAACATTTGAAAAATTGACATATGAAGAGCTGAATAAAAAATTGAAAAATCTAGAATTTAAAAATCGAAAAAGTAAAAAGTCGACACATCGAAAAATCCAGAAGTCAAAAATGGAGAAATCGAAGAACAGAAATATTGAAAAATACCAAAACTGAAATATCGACTGAAAAATGAAAGAAAAACTGACGAATCGAAAAACTGAAAAATCTTAAAAGTGAAATATCCAAAAACTGAGAACCTCGAAAAATCAAAAAAGTGAGGTCGAAATATCGAAACCTTAAAAAAATCGAAAAATTGAAAAATCAAAAACCTGCAAAATCGTAAGATCGAAAAATTGAATTACAAGTAAACTGAAAAATCCAAAAATTGACAAATCGAAAAATCAAAAAAGTGAAGTTAAAAAATCGAAACCTGAAAAAATAGAAAAATTAAAAAACCAAAAAACCTGAAAGATCAATTAATTGAAAGATCGACAAATAAAGAGTTTATAAAAGTCAAAAACTGAAAAATCGAACTATTTAAAAATCGTAAAATTGAAGAGAAAAACTGAAAACCGAGAAATTGAAAAATTGAGAAATTGTAAAATCCAAAAATTGAATAATAAATAGGAGTAAGATATTTAAGATATTATTTAAGACATTTTAAGATCAGGAATAAAAATAAATCATTGACTTTCTCCGCCAGAGTTCTAAAAATACTAGCGACAGACTTGTTAACATTTCAACAGTAATTAGCTTCTTATGTAAATATGTACCAAAGATATTCACTTAGTCGTTATAAAAACCGACCAAACAACTATTTCCCGCAGAAATTATAGTCCAAACCAACCAAATCGCTTCTGAACGCTTAGAGTCGACATTGGCCTGAGCGCGCTCTGGTCTGTAGATCAAACAAGTTCTCAGGCGACAAATTGTAGTGAAACAAGTTTTTTTATTGGCATCGACTATTTAAATTTGGCGCTTGTCTTTGGCGGTTGAGGACTCCAATGTCAATAAGGGTGGTTTTGCCAAATCAGCCTGTCACCATCGCCGTAAATTTCTGAACGCATTCCAGTAGTCAGTGGCAAAGCTGTCATTAGTGTCAAACTATGTTTGACAATTGACGGATTGTTGATTGTGGTTGGTTGCTTGGTGTTGCTGTCGGTTTGGTGATGGTGGCTCACGGTGTCTTATTAGATCGCCGTGTTAGATTATTACAGATGTGATGAAGAGTCGTCCTTGTTAATACCAGAAGAATTTCAAGTTGTTGGTTGTTTAAGTGTTTGCGAAGTGGTAACAATGTACTAAGCGACTTTCTTATGCCTGCGACGAACAAAGAACAATGGGGAGTTACGCGAAGGCTATTATGACAGGTTTTATATGCAGGTTATGTTCAGAACAGAAGAAAAAAGTCATTCATTTATACAGCGGTAAAGCGAAGAAGCTAGCGTTGATGAAAAAAATCAAGTTATTACCTATAACTGTGAGTTTAGACTGGTTTACACTGGGACTAGAGCAGGAAAATTCATGTTGTGTTTTTTAGATTGACAAATATGACAATTTGCCAAAGACTGTGTGTGAACAGTGCATTGAGAGATTGGAAATTCAGTATAATTTGGTACTCAAAATAAAAAAGAGTAATGCAATACAACGTAGTCATAGATTGTTTCATGTGAGTATGTGGAAGGTGAGGCAAGCTGTGAGTAATTTGTTGTTCTAGAGTAATGGTCGTTGCCCCGTGGAGTGCCCTTTGCACGGCATACACGACTCAAATTGGGCTGGTTTGGATACCGACGAATTATGATTAGTAAATGTAATTTAATGTTCTGTTACTGCTGGTTAAACTTTTTGTAATTGTGATTTTTTTCCTTTATTAAATAAAGTGGTGTAAATATAGTATATTTTTGTATTTATTTAAAATATATAATTTAACATACACTTAATAGTAAAAATGTACAACTTTTTTTAATATATCACAATAGATTATGATCTAATTATAAAACACTTCTATCTCAAACATTCTAAGAGTATACATAAAAAAAATTGCTTCAAAAATATTGACGTATGAAGAACGAACAAATAATATTTACAATACAAAAATCAATGGATAAAAAACTGTGGTCTCTGAGGTCAAGTGGACGAGAACGTTATGACCGTAATTTGTAATTATATACAAAACCTTAACTTAAATTTTCTGGTTACAAAATACTTTAATAGCAATTTTCATGGTTCTTGTCAATTACATACACATACGAAAATTACCCTCCAATTTTGTTAAAAATAATTATGATTAATTAGGAACTAATTTGTGCAATATTAAAAGTAACTGCTACCTGACATATTTATAAGCAGAAAGTTATCTGTTATTAACAAACTAAGTACATTTTAAAAGGCTCCATGTACTATAACGGTTACAATTTATCACCACCAAACGTGTAAAAAATATTTATCTGAAATATATTACAAAGAGTCTGTTTAAAATGCAGTCAAACTTTCAGTCGTTAATATGAAACAATCGTTTTAGACGTATTTTCAAACAAACTTAATTTATCCTTCTACCAACATTAGTGATGGAATTAAAGAAAGAACGAATCTCTAATCTAACAATAACAACTACAAAGAAAAAACTATCTTAAACCAGTAATTCCTCTCCACATTGAAGCAATGCTAGCTGCAGCACTAGTCACCAGACCTCCTGCCACACTGGTAGCCTGTTGCGTAGTGATCATCTGCGCAGACTGTACCACAGGTGAAGCAACAGGAACATCAGCGCATGGAATATGTGGTACCTGAAACTAAACCGATTAACAACAGTCTTGACATTCTACAAAACAATTACAGTTTCCCATTCTCTGTGAAAACTATCCCCTTCGTCCGAATCCGTGTTATCGCCACTAAACTCCAGATCTCTCGTTATAGGCTTCTCAAGCGAATCCGCTTTCCGAGAATCAACTTCAAACGGACCTTGCCTGTTCGTGAATAAAACATTTTCATATTTACTTTTGTACGTATTACCATTGTTTAAGTATATTATAGTTGGACAACCTATACGGACAATCACTTTCCCATGTAGAAAAGAATTAATATATATTTTACATCTCACTCGCTTCACTATGACGTGGCGGTACCTTACGAAAGGGGGTAAAAATAGTCCGTAAGCACGTGATGTCGATAAGGTAGTAAACGGACGTATTAATCAGTACGTTGTACGGGGAGCAGTCACAAAATAAGCAAACGTACGTGTTGCAGACTTTACTGTAATATATGTATATGTAGTGCATACCTGTTTCAAGGTTAAGGTAACAAAAATTTAATATTATCGCGGTATACCTATTATCCATGAACTGCATGGCTAAGAAATATGCGTCCCTTCGTCCACTTTAAAGGTATACGAAATTAAACGACCACTACTTTAATTAATAAGTAACAAGTCATCTAATTTGCCTCCAGAATAACTATGGATTATCATCAAACTATGAACACCAAATTAATTCAATATGAACACCTTCTTACGTATTTTTTTTATTAACAGTAGTCAAATCATTAAATAGATATTATTTTTGAAACTAAAATGCATTTTATCCTAAGATTGTATCACAAAATATTCATCACCATTTAAATATATACGACATCAAGAAATAAATTTAAAATTGCAAAAATTATACTAAAACAGCCTTAAATGTGTCTTGTATGTACGTGCTTATCAGTATGTAGGCATTTTAACGCACAGCAATAATCGTTCTTTATGAGTAATGACTACTGTAACACAGTAAATCCTCGAAATCGAAAATGTAAAACACTGAAAAATTCAAATATGGGAAAATTGTAAAATCGAGAAATCGAAACACAAAAAAATCAAAAAAAATCTGAAATTTAAAAATCGAGAAATTGAACAATCGGTTAATTCAAAAATCGAAACATCGAAAAATTGGAAAATCGAAAAATAAAAAAAAATTGGACAATCGAAAATTTAAAAATTCCGAAAATTGAAAAATTGAAATATAGAGAACTGAAAACTCAAAAAATCGAAAAAAATTAATAATTTCAAAAATCGAAAAGTTAAAATTGAGAAATCGAAAAACTGAAAAATCACAAAATTGAACGAAATATCAAAAAATTAGGAAATTAAAAAATTGAGAAACAAAAAAGTCAAAAAAGCAGAGTCTAAAAGTCGCAAACTTAAAAAATCGAAAAATTGAAAAATCAAAAACCGGAATAATCGAAAAATTGAAGAACTGAAGAACTGAAAAATCGAAACTTTAGGAAGTGGAGAAATGGGAATATAAAAAAATAGATTAATTGAGAAATCCGAAAACTAAAAATTCAGAAACGTCAAAATTTGAAAAATAAAAAAATATTGAAGAACTAAAAAATCGAAAAATCTAAAATTTAAAACACTGAAAAGTTAAAATATCCTAAAACTGAAAAATGGAGAAATCCAAACATCAAAAAATCAAAAATCAAAATAAAAATCTAAAATTTAATAATCGAAAAACTGAAAAATCAACGAATCGAGAAGTCGAGAATTTAAAAATTGGACAATTGAAAAATTGGATAAATCAAAAATCGAAACATCGAAAAATCGAGAAACCGAAAAGCAAAAAATCGAAAAACCAACAAATTGAAAAATGGAAACATTGTAAAATTCAAAAATTGAGACATCGAGAAATCGAAAAATCAAAAGACAAAAAAAATCGAGCAGTCGAAAAATCGAGAAGTCGAAAAATCAAAAAATTGAGAAACCGAAGTAGGCCAAAATCGAAAAATCGAAAACTTAAATATGGAAAAATTGATAAAGCGAGATTGAATAATCAAAACATCGAAACATCAGAATCTCAATGAATTGAGATCTCAAAAAATTTAAACATTCGTAAATTTAAAAAATTAAAATATGAAAAAGTTGAAAAATTGAGAAATTGAAATAAAAAGCAAAAAACTGAAAATCTAAAAATAAAAAATAGAAAAATCTAGAAGTCGAAAAATGAAAGAAACGAAGTATTGAAAAATATCAAGACTGAAAGAAATATCCAAAAATTGAGAAATCGACAAACCAATAAAGCGAAGTCGAAAAATCGAAGAATTGAAGAACTGAAAAATCGAAACTTTGAGAAGTGGGAAAATCAAAAATAGATTAAATTGAGAAATCAGAAAACTGAAAATTTAACGCAAAAATTTGAAAAATTCAAAAATTTAAATACTGAAGAACTGAAAAGTCAAAAAATCGAGAAATCGAAAAAACTAAAATTTAAAACAATGAATAATTAAAATATCGCAAAATTGAAGAATCGAGAGATCCAATTCAATTTGAAAAATTGAAAAATCGGGGCATTGAAAAATTGGAAAATCCAAAAATTGAAAAGCTCAAAAGAAAAAAATCGAAAAACCGAGAAATCCAAAAATCGAAACATCGAAAAATTCAAAAACTGAGACTTCGAGAAATCGAAAAATCGGAGGATCGAGAAATTGAGGAGTCGGAAGCCGAAAAGGAAAGTTAAAAATTGAAAAATTGAGAAATTGAACAATCAAAACAACGAAACATCTGAATTCGATAAATTGAGAAATTAAAAAATTGAATAATCGAATAATTTTAAAAAGGAAAAACTGGAAAATCAAAAATTAAAATTCAAAAAATCGAAAAATTGAAAAATTGAAATATAGAAGAACTGAAAACTCGAGATATCGAAAAACCTAGAATTTTAAAAAAGGGAATATTAAAACATCGAAAAGTTTAAAAATTGAGAAATCGAAGCATTAAACAGTCCCAGAATTGAAAAATCTAAAGTTTACAATAAATTGAAAATCCAAAAAGGAAAAAAGCGAGAAATCAAAAAAATCCATCAATTCAAAAATCGAAAAGTCGAAAAATTGAAATATTGAAAAATTTCATAACTGAAAGAAATATTCAAAAAATTGAGAAATTAAAAAATTGGAAAATTGAGAAATCGAAAATCTAAAAAAGCAAAACTGAAAAATCGTAATCTTAAAAAATCGAAAAATTGAGGAATTGAAGATGTGAAAAATCGAAACTTTAGGAAATCCAGAAATGGACAAATAAAAAAAATACTTTAGAAATCGGCAAAATGAAAATTTAGAAACGTGAAAATTTGAAAAATTGAAAAATCGAAATATTTAAAAACCGTAAAATTGAAGAGGACAAAAATTGAGAAATCATATCATTGAAACATCGTAAGATTGAGAAATCGAAAAATAAAAAAATCGAGAAATAGAAAATTTAAGGAATGGAGGAATCGGAAAAGCCCAAAATTGAAATATTGAAAAATTGAGACATTTAAAGTTGAAAAATCGACAAATCGACAAGCCGAAAAATCCCAATAGCGTATTTAGGTATAAATCACAAGATCAGGACTATTCTACTTTTTAAAATTTAAATACATAACATTATAAATTGGAAAATGTTGATTTTTTTTCCAAAAATCTTGACGTCTAAGGTGAAAACTCGACACGGATGCTTAAACCGTAAACGGGGCGAAACTACAATTTTACTATTGTAAAATTTGGAGATTGCGTCATTTCATTGTTCGTGACAAATTTTGGAGAGTGTAATTTGATAATACAATTTGAAATGTAAATTTTGTCATTCGGGAACATTATGTATTAAATCGTTAAGATGTTCAGGAACTTTATTCACTTATTCGTTGTAAAGTCCAATGGTCGAAATGGGTTAGTTCTTCGTAGTGGATGTGTATCACATCAACTCTAACGAATATCGGTTTATAGATAAATCGCTTAAAGCCGATATTGGCCTGAGTGTGCTTTGGTCTGTAGATCAAACAAGTTCTCAGGCGACGAAACATTGCATGTGGAGGGAGACTTCGGATTACAAATCGTGCCAAGAAAGACATATTTGGGAGAGATGGATTTTCAGGTGCTTGACTAGCGGTAATTTTAAATTGTTTGCTGTCGTTCGCGAAGTGAAGAACACAATTTCATTAAAATGATAATTATAAAATTATCATAATCACTACTGGTGTTAATTAACACAAAATGGCGCGCAAGTTATCAGTTGATTTCGTTAATAAATTCATAGAAACCTATATGGGATTTTTTCATGCCTTAGAAAATTAAAAAGTAAAAAATACAATAAGAAAAATTTTAAAATGCGGTTTACGAAAAATTAGTTGACCTGTGCAAAGAAGAAAATTTTGGAAACGCTGACAAATATGACATCTTAAAAAAAATAACACTTGAAGAAGTGCTTTCGGCGTAATATTTTTGATGCTCGCGTGAACAAAATACTCTATGTCAGTGTGCAGTGCGCAAAGAGTTAACTGTGCAGATCTAGCCGAAAATCGGAAGTAATAAATCATCCCATCGGTTGAAGAACGTTGGGTCGGTGCACTGATGGTCGGTGTTATATCCCGAGAGGGGCCCAATACACCCAATAAAATCGAACAGACAAAATGAAGCTTCAAACATGATTATTTTTATACTAAAATTCTGAAGTTTATAAACTGCACATTTTATTTATTTATTTATTTATTTATTTATTTATTTTATCTTGTTTTCGAACTATAATAAACATTTCAAACAATGTCTGTAACTTATTTTAATGTAAATTATATTCATGTGGTCAACAAAATCAGATGTAATATTAGTGTGATTTTGACCTTATTCTAGATTTTATTACAGCAGAACGGCGTATCCTTTTTAAATTTTAGAAGTTACGGAAACTAGTTCAAGAAACACTTAGTTATCTCGTATTTTTGGAACAAAATCTACCAAAATGTCCGATAACAGCAATTGTTTTTCATAGAAACAAACAATCTTCAAAGCAGCCTTTAACAACTCGATATTACAAACATGCCTCTTAAGTTCTTTATGCGTTTTTTTCTCTCTTGTAATTATTTGTAATGTTAACGCCGAAAGTTTATGTCATTCTGTTATTTACTTTGAACATATATTTTCATTTTGTGTTAATATTTTTGTAACACCACGAATCTAAATTTTACTTAAAATCTTGTTTTACTTTAATCTTGTAAAACTAAACAATTATACCAGTTTAAAAACCCTTGGAAAGTTTCTGTCAGTCTTCAGATATAGTCAAATAAAAATATGCGTCAAATTCATTTAAATTCAATTCTTTCTTATCACGTTACAACGCGTTGCTTCATATTTTTTATGTCAAGTATATTTTCATATTTTGTACATATATGTTTATACACATTACTGTTTACGGAACAATGTTAATTATGGATTTATGGATAACTCCTCGTATAAGAGCAGAGTGAAGGGTGTTTGCCTTTGCTAATGTTTGATGGCGCCATCTGATTTAGAGTAAAATAAACCTAATACGTTGGCTCACTGTAGTGAAAATGCGCGTTGACGAAAAATTTGTCCCACGCCCCCTGGATTCCTTTGTCCTAAAGCTCACTATTTAGGCGAAGTAAAATTTGTATTAGGTTGTCCAACTATAATATACTTAAACAATGGTATTACATAATCAACTATGAAACGAAAAATACTGAATAAACTGTACAATTAAAGATACTTTTACGAAACTACAAAAACTTACCTCCCTAGATTGGGATTACTTGTGTCCATCAGTTTCAGAATATTGTGAATTGTTTCGCAGGCTTTTAAATTGGACAAATCAATGTTTTGCGAGAAACATAAATATAACACGTTAGCATTGAGACGGGCCACTCTTCGCGTGAACTGAGCTTCATCCATGTAACCCCCGCAAAAATCACTGTTGTTGAAAATTGTTTTAGATCTTTGTATGCATGATACTGAGATACTAAGTATGTGGTTTAAAAATTTGTTGACTATACCTGTAGACCATCCTGTATGGCAACCGGACGTTGAAATAGAATGCCAAAACGTTGATGAGTTGGGCAGTGTAAGTGAGTGCTGCGCTGATGTTGTAAGCCGGGTTGTGTTCGACAAGATCGGGATTCGGATTTACTGGAACTGCGTCCTTGTTTTTGGATACTGAAATTGAATACACTATTTAAAAAAAAATGCAATATAAAAGGGAAAACAGAAACCCTGTTATCCTAATTTTTGCAAGGACGCATATATCAGTTCGGATAGATGCATTGTAATACTAATAAACGTATTGTGGGATCACAATGCCGACGGTCCAGACTTTTTTATTGCTCTGACTTCCGTTTATTGAATAAAACACTACATTTTATTTTGATTTTCGATGTAGTAATTCACATTTGGTTAATTATAACCTGTCTAGATCTAGGACAGGCTCAGCATCCCCTAGCCTCCTTACAACTACGGCCTTGTCTAGGGGTTATGAAATATCGATAAAATATGGAAGTACCAAATTGCCCGATGGAGTTCACCACTATACGTCCTTAGGTTATCCTCGATAAGAAAAACAACTTGAAAGTGTTTGTCTTTATACATCGGAAAAATGTCACGTAGAAATTAGTTTGATTTGAATGAGTTCGTCCCCTCAAAACTGAGGATCAAAATTATTAAGTAGTAAGCTACAATGTAAAAAATGTCCCTTGAGAAAATTTGTATCATTTTAAAAGATCTATGTGATGGCAACAATTTTTCAATTGTTTTTTAAGCAACAGTTTGAATCAAAGTCTTTAAGTTTCTCAATTTTTAACCTTTCGACTTTTAAACTTCTCGTTTCTTCATTTTTTCAGTTCTTGATTTCCAATTTTTAGTTTTTTGAAAATTTTCGTTTTATACTTTTTCGTTTATACATTTTTGATTTGTCAATTTTTAATTTTTTTTATTGAAAAATTGCAAATCGAAAATCAGAAGAAACAAAAAAATGAAAAAAATTTAAAATTGAAAAAATGAGAAATTCAAAAATCGAAAAATTGCAGATCCTATAATTTTTTAAAAATCTGGATTTATTTACATTTGACCAATTATTTCATTTCACAATTTTTTATTTTTTATTTTTTTTAATTATTCAATTTTTCCATTTTTCAGTGTTTAGGTTTCATGATTTTTCATTCTTTCAACTTTTTTTCAATTTTTCAATTTCTCGACTTGCAAATTGTCCAATTGTTCGTTTCTTCAATTTTTCAATTTTTTGTTTCCCCCATTTTTTAATTTTTTCGGTTTAATATCACAACTTTTCGTTTTTCCATTTCCTTTTTTTTTTTTATTTTTAATCTTAGATTTTTCACTTCCTCGATTTTCCAATTTTTAAGTTTTTCGGTTTTGATATTTTTGGACTTCAGTTTCCCGTTTTTTCGATTTCTTTAATTTTCACTACTTCGATTTTACAATTTTTGTTTTTTTTTTTTTGCACTTTTTCGATCTTAAGTTTCTCAATTTTTCACCTTTCGACTTTTCAATGTTTTTTTTCTTCATTTTTTCAGTTTTATACTTCTTCGATTTTACATTTTTGATTTTTCGATTTTTCAATTTCAAAAAAAAAAAATGAAAAAGCGAAGAATTGCCATATCGAAAAAATGAAAAATTGCAAATCGAAGAATGAAGAACTGAAAATCGAGAAACACAAAATTAAAAAAAAATTCGTAAGTTGGAAAACTGAAAATCTGAAAAATTTGACATCGAGAAAAGAAAAATTATAAAATCATGACATTAAAATACCGAAAAATTAAAAAAATAAAGAAAATAAAAAACCGAATAAAAAAATGAAAACTCGGGAAATATTTTAAATCGAAGAATTGCAAAATCTAAAAACTGATGAAATAAGAAAAATGAAAAATTGAGTAAATAAAGAAAATAGAAAACTAAAACGAAAAATTGCATAATCTAAAAATTGAAAAATTTAAAGTTGGAAAATTGAAGAACTGAAAAATTTGAACTTGAAAACTCGAAAAATTGCAAACCGAAATACTGAAAGAATATAAAACTGGAAAAATTTGAAATTGAAAAAATGATTAATTCAAAAATCAAATGGTTGAAAAATCGAAAAGTTTCAGATCTAAAAATTGAAAAATCCAAAAACTGAAAAGTTTCACATTGAAAAAACAAAAATAATAGAATCAGGACATTCAAAAATTGGAAAATTGAAAAAATAACGAATAATTGCAAAATTAAGAAAATAGAAACCAATACGAAAAATTACAAATCGAAAATTTTACGAGATGAAAAATTAAAGAATCGAAAAATTGAAAAAATAAAGAAAAACCAAATCGAAAAATTACAAATCGAAAACTTGAGAAATTTTAAATCGAAGAATTGTAAAGTCTAAAAATTGAGGAAATAAGAAGTATTAACAATTGAAAAAACAAAAAATTATAAATCTAAATATTGAAAAATCGAATAATTGAAAAAATAAAGAAAATAAAAAAACAAAACGAAAAATTGCAGAGCGAAGACGTGAAAAATAAAAATTGAAAACTCGGGAAACTCAATACGAAAAACTGCCAAATTTAAAATTTGAAAAATTCAAAAGTTGAAAAATTGAAAAACTGAAAATTTTGAACTTGAAAACTCGAAAAACGAAAAAACGAAAAATTGAAAGAATATGAAACTGGAAAAATCTAAAATTGGAAAACGAAAAATTTCACATTGAAAAAATAAACAATAAAAAACCGAAGTCAAAAATAAGTCGAAAATTTGAAGAAATGAAAAACTAAAGAATCGAAAAATTGAAAAAATAAAGAAAAACCAAATCGAAATATTACAAATCGAAAACTTGAAAAATTAAAGTTGAAAACTTGAGAAATTTTAAATCGAAGAATTGTAAAGTCTAAAAATTGAGGAAATAAGAAAAATTATAAATCTAAATATTGAAAAATCGAATAATTGAAAAAATAAAGAAAATAAAAAAACAAAACGAAAAATTGCAGAGCGAAGACGTGAAAAATAAAAATTGAAAACTCAGGAAACTCAATACGAAAAACTGCCAAATTTAAAATTTGAAAAACGGAAAATTTGAACTTGAAAACTTGAAAAACGAAAAAACGAAAAATTGAAAGAATATGAAACTGGAAAAATCTAAAATTGGAAAACGAAAAATTTCACATTGAAAAACGAAAAATTATAAAATCATAACATTGAAAAACTGAAAAATTGAAAAAATAAACAATAAAAAACCGAAATCAAAAATAACAAGTCGAAAATTTGAAGAAATGAAAAACTAAAGAATCGAAAAATTGAAAAGGGGACATTTTTAATCGAGGAATTAAAAATCTAAAAACTGAAGAAATAGGAAAAAAAGAAAAATGAAAAATTGAAAAAACAAACAAAAATTGAAGAACTGAAAAATTTAAACTTGAAAACTCGAAAAATTGTAAATCGGAAATCTGAATAAATAAAAAAAATTGAAAAACTAAAAAATTGCAAACCGAAAAATTAAAAGAATATGAAACTGGAAAAATCTAAAATTGAAAAGCCCAAAAACTGAAAAAGTTCACATTAAAAAAGAAAAATGATAAAATTAAATGACTGAAGAACCGAAAAATAAAATAGAAAAGTCGTTAAATTTTAAATCGAAGAACTGCAAAATCTAAAAAAAGAAAAATGAAAAATTGAAAAAAATAAAGAAAAAACCAGAACGAAAAATTGCAAATTGCAAACTTGAAAAACTTAAACTGAAAACTCGAAAAATTGGAAAATCTAAAAATTGAAAAAATTGTAAACTGGAAAACTGAAAAAGTTAAACTTGAAAACTCGAAAAATTGCAAATCGAAGATATGAAGAAACAAAGAAAAAAAGAAAAACTGGAAAATTGCAAACCGAAAAATTGAAGAAACTGAAAATTGAAAGAACATGAAACTGGAAAAATCTAAAATTGAAAAAATGATAAATTCAAAAATCAAATGGTTGAAAAATCGAAAAATTTCAGATCGAAAAATTGAAAAAACCAAAAACTGAAAATTTTCACATTGAAAAAACAAAAGCTATAGAATCAACACACTGAAAAACTGAAAAATTGAAAAAATAACGAAAAATTGGAAAATAAAAACCGTTACGAAAATTACAAATCGAAGATTTGACGAAATGACAAATTATAGAATCGAAAAATTGAAAACTTGGGAAATTTTAAATCGAAGAATTGCAAAGACTAAAAATTGAAGAAATAAGAAAAATTAACTCTTGAAAAAACAAAAAATTATAAATCGAGTTATTGAAAAAATAAAGAAAATAAAAAATCAAAACGAAAAATTGCAAAGCGAAGACGTGAAAAATTAAAACTGAAAATTTGGGAAATTCAATATGAAAAATTGCTAAAGCTTAAAAACTGAAGAATTCACAAGTTGGAAAATTGAAAAAACGATAAATTGATAGAATATGAAACTGAAAAAATCTAAAATTGAAAAATTAAAAATCTCACATTGAAAAACGAAAAACTATAAAATCATAGTATTGAAAAACTCAAAAATTGAAAAAAATAACGAGGAATTGAAAAAATAAAGAATAAAAAACCGAAACCAAAAGTTTGAAAGGTGACATTTTTAATCGAGGAATTACAAAATCTAAAAACTGAAGAAATAGGAAAAAAGAAAAATGAAAAATTGAAAAAATAAAAAAATTGAAGAACTGAAAAATTTAAACTTGAAAATTCGAAAAATTGTAAATTGAAAATCTGAAGAAACAAAAAAATGAAAAACTAAAAAATCGTAAACCGAAAAATTGAAAGACTATGAAACTGGGAAAATCTAAAATTGAAAAAATGCAAAACCAAAATTGAATAAATAAGAAAAATGAAAAATTCAAAAATTAAAGAAAAAACCAAAACGAAAAATTGCAAATCGAAAACTTGAAAAATTAAAATGGAAAACTCGGGAAACTCAATACGAAAAATTGCAAAATGTAAAAATTGAAAAATTCAAAAGTTGGAAAACTGAAAAATTTAAACTTGAAAACTCGAAAAATTGAAAATCGAAAATATGAAGAAACAAAAAGAAATAAAAACTGGAAAATTGCAAACTGAAAAATTGATATTTTCAAAAATTAAATGGTTGAAAAATTCAAAAACTGAAAATTTTCACATTGAAAGAACAAAAATTATAGAATCAGAACATCGAAAAACTGGAAAATTAATAAAATAAAAACTGATACGAAAAATTATAAATCGAAAATTTGACGAAATGAAAAATTAAAAAATAAAAAAATTGAAAATTTGGGAAATTTTAAACCGAAGAATTGCAAAGTCTAAACATTTAAGAAAAAAAAAATTATAAATCGAAATATTGAAAAATCGAATAACTGAAAAAATAAAGGAAATAAGAAACAAAACGAAACATTGCAAAGCGAAGACGTGAAAAATTAAAATTGAAAACTCGGGAAAATTGATAAATCTAAAAGTTGGAAAATTAAAGAACTCAAAAATTTGAACTTGAAAAGTCGAAAAATTGCAAACTGTAAACCGAAGAATTGAAAGAATATGAAAAGTGGAAAAATCTAAAATTGAAAAACGAAAAATTATAAAATCATTACATTGAAAAACCGAAAAATTTAAAAAATAAAGAAAATAAAAAATCCAAGCGAAAAATTACAAATCGGAAATTTGAAGAAAGGAGAAAAAAGAGTCTAAAAATTGAAAAATTGAAAACTCGAGAAATTTTAAATCAAAGAATTGCGAAATCTAAAAATTGAAGAAATAAGAAAAATTGAAAAAAAAAATACAAATCAAAACATTGAAAAATCGATTAATTGAAAAAATAAAAAAAACTAAAACGAAAAATGGCAAAATCTAAAAATTGAAAAATTCAAGTTGGAAAATTGAAAAACTGAAAAATTTGAACTTAAAAACTCGAAAAATTTCAAATCGAAAATATGAAAAAAAAAAAATTGAAAAATCCAAAAACTGAAAATTTTTACATTGAGGAAACCAAAATGATAGAATCAGGACATTGAAAAACTGGAAAATTTAAAAAATAACGAAAAATCAGAAATCGAAAATTTGACGAAATGACAATTTAAAGTCTAAACATTGTAGAAATAAGAAAAATTAACAATTGAAAAAATAAAAAATTATAAATCGAAATATTGAACAAATAAAGACAATAAAAAATCACCACGAAAAATTGCAAAGCGAAGACGTGAAAAATTAAAACTAAAAATTCAAAAACCCAAAAACTGAAAATTTTCACATTGAGAAAACAAAAAATATAGAATCAGGACATTGAAAAACTGGAAAATTAAACAATTACGGAAAATTGGAAAATTGAGAAAATAAAAACCGATACGAAAAATTAAAAACTCGGGAAATTTTAAATCGAAGAATTGTAAAGTTTAAAAATTGTAGAAATAAAAAAAATTAACAATTGAAAAAAACAAAAAATTATAAATCGAAATATTGAACAAATAAAGAAAATAAAAAATCAGAGCGAAAACGTAAATAATTAAAGCTGAAAACTACTACTGCTAAATCTAAAAATTGAAAAATTTACATGCTGGAAAATTGAAAAATTTGAACCTAAAAACTCGAAAAATTGCAAACTGCAAACCGAAAAATTAAAGCAGCGAAAAACTGAAAGAATATGAAACTGGAAAAATCTAAAATAGAAAAATTTCACATTGGAAAACAAAAAATTACAAAATCGTAACATCGAAAAATTTAAAAAAATAACGAAAAATTGAAAAAATAAAGAATAAAAAAAAGAAACTAAAAATAACAAGTCGAAAATTTGAAGAAATGAAAAATTAAAGAATTGTAAAATTGAAACGGGGAAATTTTAATCGAGGAAAAAATAAGAAAAATAAAACATTTAAAAAGCAAAAAATTACAAATCTAAAACAATTAAAATTGTAAATTCGGGAAACACAATCCGAAGAATTACAAAATCTAAAAATTTAAAAAAATTTAACGTTTAGCGAAAAGACTGAAAATGGATTCGTACACTACAAATCTATGAATATATTTTTGTGTAACATTCAAACTCATTTTAAAATACTATTCATTGAGATGACGTCATTAAATTGTTGGTGGGGATGATCATCCAAATTTTGGTTGCCATTTAACCATTTACTTGATTTTTCTAATATACATACAAAATTTGACAATAATCGGTCCAGCAGTTTCGGAGATGACGTGTCAGACAGACAAAAACAGGAGACTACATTTTTCGTATTGTAGGGGTCATGACATGTCGAGAAAACATGAAAATGCCCATTCGTCTGATGGACTCTATTACAATACTTCCTTCGCTTACGCGTGGGAAGTAAAAATCAATATTTCCATTAATGAAATAATTTATAAAATTTATTTTCAAAATTTTTGAGATGTCATGACATTGATAGGGAGATTGGGCAAATTTTGGTTCGCGTTTTACCATCTACATGATATTCCTAACATACATATAAAATATAATCGCTCCGGTAATTTTGGAGATTATCTGAGTAATAAAAATCTGAGCAGACGGTACACAGACTGAACCAGGAGACCTAATTTTTGATACTCTATGGGCCATGAAATGTCGAGAAAACATAAAAGTAGACAGTCGTCCCCTGACAGACTTGATTACAATATTTTCTTTGCTTACGTTCAGGAAGTAAAAATAAAATTTGCAAAATTAAAAAAACAACAAAATATTTACGTCGTTTCTCAAAAAAGGTACAATAAAACATATTATTCCTTAAATAATGTGTTTTTACATTTGTATTATTAGTTAAAAATTAATGTGTGGTTAACTTACCCCAGATATTATATAGTGAATAGTTTCCAGAACCAGGCAAACAAGGTTCCACAATTGAATATTGCAATTCATTAAAATCAGTTGGGAAGTCTGCATATTCCCAACGATCTCTAACATACATCGTTTGTGATGCTTCTGCAATAGCACTAACCATATCCGATTCTAAAGATTCCTCCTCTCTGTAACATAACAATTGAGTCCAGTTTGGACATATTTAATCAAAATAGACTCACAGTTTTGGTTCCACTTTCGTAATTGGAAATATGTTTTTCAGTTGATCAATTCGTAGTCTCACAAGCCCCATTATCTCTTGATGGTTCTGCTCTAATTGTTCTTGTTGTTTTTCAACTTTTTCTCGTTTATCAGCGGCACATAGCTCAACTTGTACCACCTTTTGATCATATTTTAATAACTTCTCCGACGTACGTTTCACTTCTTCCTTCAACTTGGTTAAGTCGGCAATGTATTTGAGACGTTTTTGCTTTTTTTCTTCGACTGCAAGTTTAATAATTCTGTTTCTATCTTTATACTGCCTAATTTTCGAATGCTGCAACAAGACAATGTAAAATAAGTGATTAATTCGCTACGATAACGGCGATTGAAGTCTTACCAATACATCAGCTTTTTGTCGAAATTCAAAATGTTTAAGACACTTCTTTTCGAGTATTTTTTTATTATCTTCTAATTCAAGCAACGTCTTCCGCTTATCCAAGTAACTGAAAGATTCGTATTCGAAATATTAATAATAGTTTTCTTGTTAATAAGCTATATTTACCTTTCTGAAGCTTGATGTTTTGACGAATAAAATAGGCCACTGTGAATGCAATCTTTGCAATAAAACACTTTTCGGGAACTAGAGCACAACAAACACTTCTGTCTGGGTAAACTTAAACGACTGCCACTGTCTATAGATGAGGAAATATGAAAATCTTTTGGAGCAGTGCTACTTTCGTCTGAACTGCTGGTAGCCATAACAAAACTAATTTATTCATGCACTATACGCTTTTGAACACTCGTTCCTTGAAAGATCGCCACGAAAAAGAAAATTATGCAGTGCTTGAAAATTTACGAAAATTTTAACAAAAAATAATGAAGAGAAATGAATAATTTAAAATCACGTTTGTTTGGTGTTAATAAAACAAAAATCTTACATGATCTGTCAAATTGTGCGCGCCAAATTTAAATTTAACAAGTTTACTGATTGCCACTTCTACAATACCAAACATTTACTTTTTAGCGTATATTTAAAGCAAATTGCGTTGAACTTTAGTTAAAAACGATACTAATTCAGTTTACTTTTTTCAATATATTTAAACAGTAAACAATAAACCCAGTACCTTGAAAATCACTAATTTCAACGATTTTGGGAGAACGGTGTTCGTTCTTCTGGTACGAAATGGGTGCGGAAGTTTATAACAACAAAACATTTATGGGTGATCAGGTGGCTAAAACATGCATGTTGGCGATGCAGCTGATGATGGAAGAGTGGCAGAGTTTTTAATTTTAATTCAAAAGGAGAGTTCGGTAGAAAACGGGTTGTGTGAGAGCGTTCTTGAAAGGTATTCGAAGTACCTACTTGGAAGGATCAGGATTATTGTGAACGGTGAACAAAAGATAGGTTTTACGACATGCGGATGGAGAAAGAGAAAGTTTCAAGATGACCGTAGTTGCAAGTAAACAAATACAGACTGAAATACGGACTATATGCAACTATAATAAAAGCAAAAAAAGTGATTTATAAATTCGGATCGAAGGGAAATGAAATCGCCAAATACAGTATAACCTCTATAATTCGAACCCATGATTATCTGAACATTCAGTAATCCGAACAGAGGCTAGTTGAAGTTGAAGTCGATATCTCTTTAATCCGAACAAAAACTTTGCAATCTGAACTGAACTTGAAAACATGCACATACTTGCAAAAATGACGCAAGATCTTTCTGTACGTGTTGTCTTGAATTTTTTGAAATTTTTTAAAATTGTGATATTTGAATGCACTGCATTAATTAACTAATTCTGGAAAAAAGGTTGAAGTTATCGAAGAAATGAGGCCTAAAGTGACTTCTGCGACCCTCTAAGAAAATAAAAGGCAGGTGGGCCGGACTAGTATTTGCCAAAATAAGACTCATTTTGGCAAATGACCTACTCATTTAAGAAAAGGTACTAGCCCCGCCCACCCACCCTTTTTTTTCTTAGAAGAGTGGGTCCTCTGCCTCCTCCCGCCTTTTATTTTCTTAGCGGATAGGTTATTTGGAAAGTGCTAGCCCCACCCCACCCGCCCTTTGTTTTCTTAAGAGAGTAGATCATTTGCCAAAATCTAGTACTAGATTTTTCAGGTTTTCTATTTTTCAACTTTCGAATTTTTCAATTTCTCGCTTTTTAAATTTTCAATTTTTTGATCTGTCTTTCAATTTTTGATTTCTCTGGGCAACTGAAAAAAACTTTCGATTTTTTAATTTTACAACTGTGGCAGTTTTCCGATTTCTCAATTATTTCATTTTTAAAAACATCGAGAAAATAGACGTTATTTTTTTAAATTTTCGATTTTTGATTTTTTGTCACCTAGTTTTTGGAAGGGAGTAAAAAGTAACTTTAAAACATCTAAAAATTTTGTTTCTAATTTTCAATTTTTGGATTTTCTTCAAAATTTCGGTTCGAATAAATTTGTTCTTTTAGTAAAAAATCCAAAAATGACAAATCGTGAAAAGGGAAAATTTTAACTTGAGAACATGAAAAATTAAAAATCAAAAAATTCCAAAATTGTAAAGTTAAAACTTGGAAAATCAAAAGATTGAAATTAAAAACTGCAAAATTGTCAAAAAAAATATGAAATGAAATATTTAAAAGTTGAAAAATCTACAAACTAAAATAAATGCAAACAGGAATTTCGAATTCGATTTTATACGTATAAGATTTGTTTTTTTTTTCAATTTTTCGATATTTTAGTTTTTGATTTTCCGATTATACAGTTGTACAATTTTGCGATTTTGATAAATATTGAAATTAAAGACTGGAAAAACTCTGCACGAAAAATTGTAAAATCTGAATTATGAATTGTAAAGAATTCAAAAGTTGGAAAATTTAAAAACTTAAAAATTTAAACTTGAAAACTAGAAAAATTGTAAATCAAAAATCTGAAGAAACAAAAATATTAAAAAAATTTCAAACCGAAAAACTGAAAAAATGCAAAATCAAAAATCTAAAAGTTGAAAAATCAAAAATTGGAAATCGAAAAATTAAAAATCCAAAAAATGAAAATTTTCACATTGGAAAAAGAAAAATGATAGAATCAGGACAATGAAAAACTGGAAGATTGAAAAACTCCGGAAACTTAATACGAAAAATTGCTAAATCTAAAAATTGAAAAACTCACAAGTTGGAAAATTGAAAATCTAAAAATTTACACTTGAATACAACACAATAAAATTTCAAATCGAAAACATGAAGAAATAAAAAAAACTGGAAGATTGCAAACCGAAAAATTGAAGAAACTAAAAATTGAAAAAAAACAAAAACGAAAAAGTGGAAAATTAAGAAAATAAAAACCGATACGAAAAATTACAAATCGAAAATTTGCCAAAATGAAAAATTAAAAAATCGAAAAATTGAAAACTCGGGAAATTTTAAATCGAAGAATTGCAAAGTCTAAAAATTGAAGCAACAAGAAAAATTAACAATTGAAAAAACAAAAAATTATAAATCGAAATATATTGAAAAATCGAACAACGGAAAAAATAAAGGAAATAAAAAAACAAAACGAAAAATTGTAAAGTGAAGACGGTGAAAAATTAAAATTAAAACTATTGATGACCTATTCTTTATTTTCTTAGAAGAGTAGGTCGTTGGCCAAAATAAGTCTTATTTTGGGAAATACTAGCCCGGCCCACCCGCCTTTTATTTTCTTAGCGGATAGGTTATTTGGAAAGTGCTAGCCCCACCCACCCGCCCTTTGTTTTCTTAAGAGAGTAGATCATTTGCCAAAATCTAGTACTAGATTTTTCAGGTTTTCTATTTTTCAACTTTCGAATTTTTCAATTTCTCGCTTTTTAAATTTTCAATTTTTTGATCTGTCTTTCGATTTTTGATTTCTCTGGGCAACTGAAAAAAACTTTCGATTTTTTAATTTTACAACTGTGGCAGTTTTCCGATTTCTCAATTATTTCATTTTTAAAAACATCGAGAAAATAGACGTTATTTTTTTAAATTTTCGATTTTTGATTTTTTGTCACCTAGTTTTTGGAAGGGAGTAAAAAGTAACTTTAAAACATCTAAAAATTTTGTTTCTAATTTTCAATTTTTGGATTTTCCGATTCTTCAAAATTTCGGTTCGAATAAATTTGTTCTTTAAGTAAAAAATCCAAAAATGACAAATCGTGAAAAGGGAAAATTTTAACTTGAGAACTTGAAAAATTAAAAATCAAAAAATTCCAAAATTGTAAAGTTAAAACTTGGAAAATCAAAAGATTGAAATTAAAAACTCCAAATTGGTCAAAAAAAAAAAAATATGAAATGAAATATTTAAAAGTTGAAAAATCTACAAACTAAAAAAAAAATGCAAACAGGAATTTCGAATTCGATTTTATACGTATAAGATTTGTTTTTTTTTCAATTTTTCGATATTTTAGTTTTTGATTTTCCGATTATACAGTTGTACAATTTTGCGATTTTGATAAATATTGAAAAATTTCACATTGAAAAATTGAAATTAAAGACTGGAAAAACTCTGCACGAAAAATTGTAAAATCTGAATTATGAATTGTAAAGAATTCAAAAGTTGGAAAATTTAAAAACTTAAAAATTTAAACTTGAAAACTAGAAAAATTGTAAATCAAAAATCTGAAGAAACAAAAATATTAAAAAAATTTCAAACCGAAAAATTGAAAAAATGCAAAATCAAAAATCTAAGAGTTGAAAAATCAAAAATTGGAAATCGAAAAATTAAAAATCCAAAAAATGAAAATTTTCACATTGGAAAAAGAAAAATGATAGAATCAGGACAATGAAAAACTGGAAGATTGAAAAACTCCGGAAACTTAATACGAAAAATTGCTAAATCTAAAAATTGAAAAACTCACAAGTTGGAAAATTGAAAATCTAAAAATTTACACTTGAATACAACACAATAAAATTTCAAATCGAAAACATGAAGAAATAAAAAAAACTGGAAGATTGCAAACCGAAAAATTGAAGAAACTAAAAATTGAAAAAAAAACAAAAACGAAAAAGTGGAAAATTAAGAAAATAAAAACCGATACGAAAAATTACAAATCGAAAATTTGCCAAAATGAAAAATTAAAAAATCGAAAAATTGAAAACTCGGGAAATTTTAAATCGAAGAATTGCAAAGTCTAAAAATTGAAGCAACAAGAAAAATTAACAATTGAAAAAACAAAAAATTATAAATCGAAATATATTGAAAAATCGAATAACGAAAAAAATAAAGGAAATAAAAAAACAAAACGAAAAATTGTAAAGTGAAGACGGTGAAAAATTAAAATTAAAACTATTGATGACCTATTCTTTATTTTCTTAGAAGAGTAGGTCGTTGGCCAAAATAAGTCTTATTTTGGGAAATACTAGCCCGGCCCACCCGCCTTTTATTTTCTTAGCGGATAGGTTATTTGGAAAGTGCTAGCCCCACCCACCCGTCCTTTGTTTTCTTAAGAGAGTAGATCATTTGCCAAAATCTACTACTAGATTTTTCAGGTTTTCTATTTTTCAACTTTCGAATTTTTCAATTTCTCGCTTTTTAAATTTTCAATTATTTGATCTGTCTTTCGATTTTTGATTTCTCTGGGCAACTGAAAAAAACTTTCGATTTTTTAATTTTACAACTGTGGCAGTTTTCCGATTTCTCAATTATTTCATTTTTAAAAACATCGAGAAAATAGACGTTAATTTTTTTAAATTTTCGATTTTTGATTTTTTGTCACCTAGTTTTTGGAAGGGAGTAAAAAGTAACTTTAAAACATCTAAAAATTTTGTTTCTAATTTTCAATTTTTGGATTTTCCGATTCTTCAAAATTTCCGTTCGAATAAATTTGTTCTTTAAGTAAAAAATCCAAAAATGACAAATCGTGAAAAGGGAAAATTTTAACTTGAGAACTTGAAAAATTAAAAATCAAAAAATTCCAAAATTGTAAAGTTAAAACTTGGGAAATCAAAAGATTGAAATTAAAAACTGCAAAATTGTCAAAAAAAATATGAAATGAAATATTTAAAAGTTGAAAAATCTACAAACTAAAATAAATGCAAACAGGAATTTCGAATTCGATTTTATACGTATAAGATTTGTTTTTTTTCAATTTTTCGATATTTTAGTTTTTGATTTTCCGATTATACAGTTGTACAGTTTTGCGATTTTGATAAATATTGAAAAATTTCACATTGAAAAATTAAAATTAAAGACTGGGAAAACTCTGCACGAAAAATTGTAAAATCTGAATTTTGAATGGTAAAGAATTCAAAAGTTGGAAAATTTAAAAACTTAAAAATTTAAACTTGAAAATTAGAAAAATTGTAAATCAAAAATCTGAAGAAACAAGAATATTAAAAAAATTGCAAACCGAAACATTGAAAAAATCCAAAATTAAAAATCTAAGAGCTGAAAAATCAAAAATTGGAAATCGAAAAATTAAAAATCCAAAAAATGAAAATTTTCACATTGGAAAAAGAAAAATGATAGAATCAGGACAATGAAAAACTGGAAGATTGAAAAACTACGAAAAATTGCTAAATCTACAAATTGAAAAACTCACAAGTTGGAAAATTGAAAATCTAAAAATTTACACTTGAATACAACACAATAAAATTTCAAATCGAAAACATGAAGAAATAAAAAAAACTGGAAGATTGCAAACCAAAAAATTGAAGAAACTAATTCTTATTTATGTAATTTTTCAATTTGTTATTTTTTTATTTTTTTTATTTTTAATTTTTAGCAAGTACTAGCCCCACCCGCCACCCACCCAGCCTTTATTTTCTTAGAAGAATAAATCATCTGCCAAAATTAGTCTTATCTTGGCAAGTACTAGCTCCCCGCCCACCCTCCCTTATTGTCTTAGAGGATATGTGATTTGCCAAAATCAGTCTCATCTTGATAAGTACTAGCCCCGCCCACCCACCCTTATTTTCTTAGAGGATCTGTTATTTGCAAAAATCAGTCTCATACTTGCCAAGATAAGACTGATTTTGGCAGATGACCTACCTTTCTAAGAAAATAAAGGGTGGGTGGGCGTTGCTAGTACCTTTTCTTAGAAGAGTACGTCATTTGTCAAAATAAGTCTTATTTTGGCAAATACTAGCCTGGCCCACCGGCCTTTTATTTTCTTAGAGGGTAGGTTATTTAGCAAGTACTACCACAATGTAAAATTTCATTTTTGAAAAAGTTGTCTAAAAATTCTGAAAAAATTCAGATATATATATATATACCAACGTGCTGATTCCAAAAATATAGCATGTTGATGGTAACGGAGCAATATTGTTATCGGAAAATTCTTGTGAAGTTCGAATTTTTCAAAATTTTTAAAAATAGCGATATTTCCATGGACAATTGTGGAAACACAGTTTAAGTTAACGAAGAAATGAAGCCTGAAGTGACTTCTACGGCCCAAAATCTACAAGAAAATGTATTTAGTTAATTTTCAAAAATCATCGAGAATGGGTCGAAATTTGCATAAGGGATAAGTAATACTAATACGATTAAATTCAGGGATATAGATCCCAACATGTTGACTCCAAAAGTATAGCGTGGTTATGGTCACGGAGTAATGTTTTTTTAGAATGTATCTATTATCCATTGTTGGTTAAGAATACTTTATTTATGTTTATTGAGTCGAGTCGCGTCCAACGACTGAAATTGCGCCGGATTTATTTTATACATAATCGCTGTAATAGTTGGTCGTGTAAATTTGAAGTAGTAAAAAATAAATTGTTGAGTTTACCCACGCCGATTTTAATCACCTGTTCAACGTAACACTGGTGTCAGAAGTGGGATTTGAGATTAATAACTGGTTTTACGACGACTTCCGGACAGATTAGACAAGAATTCTGAAGAATTTATGGCTGTCGAGACGAGAGCCCAAGCTGCAAGTAAAGCAGATTATGGCTATGCTCGCAGAAATGAAAAAAGAAATGGGCACAGGAATGGAAAAAATGGGCGCAAGCAATAAAAAAATAATGCAACAATAGAAGAGATGAACGAAAAAATGGACGCAATAAATAAACAATAGATGAAAAATTGATGCAAGAAATAAAGAAACGAATGACAAAATGGATGCAAGAAAAAATAGATAAGCACATTCGCCTGACTGAAAAATTCCAAAAGGAAGTGGAAGCAAACAAGAATGAAATAGAAGAAATCAAAGAAGAAATGAAGGACGTGAATATAAGCGAAGAAAAATGTTGCTGCCTCGGTGGGAATCGAACCACACGTCACCCGGGCAGGTATCCTGACCACTAATAATAATAATCGTTCCCGAAGCTGGCCTCTATTTAAATCCATACTTCTGCGATCGAGGTCTTTCTCGAATATCGTCACCCGTCATTGCCGTACAAACTAGAAAGCTCTCGACGGTCCATAGGCGTCGTATGCGTTTCTTTCGTAACAATACTTTTGAAAACTCATTGCTTCTGCAAAGCCCAAGCGTCGAGAAGACCGAAAATAATACTTCAGATTCATTACTTACATTGCCAGTCAAAACTGAACAGGAATTAGATCAGCTAAATAACAACCAACAAAAACAAATTGAAAGAACTAGTACTTAAGTAAATTTTTGATAGTTTGTTACATTTTTGTTTGTATAGAGAAACAAAAATTTGGTTGGAGAAGAGGATTAAAAAAACAGTTCATTTATGCATGCGTTTCGCTGCGTTAACTTCTTTGTACAACTGAGTTTACAGTATGTATATAAAAATAACAACAAAAAAAATACCCCTATGCTACAGACTCTGATATAAAAAAATGATTGGTTTATTTTTTAGCTGCATCTAAATCACGATTGGGAAAAAAACTCAAACACTCAAGAAGTTGATCATGATATTGTGGTGTCCAAATTTAAATTAAAATTTCGCGCTGAAAAAAAAGGTCAGAAAATCTTGGACATCAATGTCATTCCACTGTTACAACTGACAAATTTTTGAAAGTTCAAACGTCAAAGTGACAATAAAGCCTAGACTATACCTATACAAATTTTTGAAATGACAATATATGTACACTTACACCCTTTATCTCCTACCTGACTATGGTAAAACCCAGCTTTTGTTTCCACTTCCACCAACGTTCTTCGGATTTCCCAACAGTTCCGAAATTTTTTCCTGTAAACTGTTTCCACCACTCCTCAACCGAACTTTCTTTTCATTCAATATTTTTGAAGCTCACTCTCCTTTACCCGTTTTTGAAATGTACAGATCTAATAAAAAGTCAGCCAACTAACAGTATTTTAATTACTACAAGACCCACATAACAATGACTGAATTCCTTTATTTTCTTTTCTTAATTAAATTTGATTATTTGATTGAACAAGAAGTAGGGTAGGATTGAAAATCAAGTGAACGGAGATATAAAAACAGGAGCGAAAATATGCAACAACAATGAAATTAAAGATACAACAAAAAATAAAACAACAATAAGAACGCACAGAATTCAGAACGGAGAGATGAAGACAAGGTAAATGGAAAATCGGCAATAAAATCAGCAGGCAAGAAATTGATGAAGAAAAGAGGTGTTAAAAAAAGGTACCTATATGAGCACAAACAGGGGTGGTTATAATAGTAAAAAAGAGAAGGCAAAAGATATACATTTACATATAAAATGTAAAAAGTTGTATATAGTAGTTTCAGATTAAATATCTCTATAATAAAATGTGAAATAGACCACAGACGTTAAACAGACGAAAATAGAAAACCTACTTTTTCATACTCTATTAGTCGTTCGCTAGTTGGAGCCTATTACAATACTTCCTGAACGTAAACTAGGGATAAATGGAAGATATATTTTTAACAAGACTCAAATGATTGGGATCGATACAAAAATGAAAGAACAAAAAGCTCCACCTGGTGATGTCTGTAATTCCTTACCTATATTTAATAACCGCCATCAATGTTGTTTTCACTATTACTAGATTTTTTTTATTGCTGGGAGGGATTATTTTCAGGAGATTTATTTTGAGAGACTGAAATCTTTAAATTTTAAATTCTTTAATATATAATACAAAACGACAGCTAATAACATTAAACGGGATGTATTTACAAAATTAATTATGTTGTCTAGTTTTAATTTTACATTTCGATGATTTGTTGAAATGCGACAATTCAAACTGCATAGAATTAATTGCCCACTGTACATCCAGCACGAATTACTAGTTTTTAAGATTCATTGTTGTGACCAAACCGTTAACCAATAAAAAGTGTACCATGTATAAAAATAAAACACTATTTATTTAAATAATTTAATTATAATGATTTTATTAGAGTATTTTCAATTCATCTTAAAATACACTAAATAATCTTAATTTATACACCTGTTCACATAGTTAAAAAATAGAATTTTAACGTATTTTTTAAATCACGACCTCTGTACAAAGAATGGTAATTGATGATTTATGATATGATGAAAAATACCACTTGTAATAAATGTTTGCATCAAACAGATGAAATAAAAAAGAAACAATTAACTACAAACATTTATTGTTTTTTTCAAAATGATAAAGTTGCCACACTGCTGCTAAACTTCTAAGAGTTATTTACTAGTGGCACCGCTAGATAAAATAAAGTATGTTTTTATGTATAGTATTATAAAGATCAACATGCAGTACGATGCATTTTGTGCATGGAACATGAACATATAAACAGTTTCATTTTGTATACAAAAAACAAATCACTTTTATAGGTTTAAAAATGGTAACTAATAAGGTATAGTTAGGCCCTACGTGTGAACCAAATAACAATACAATACTTAAATTCACTCACGCCGATAATGTACAAGAGCAGCAATTAAAAATACATAATTTAATTTTATGATTCTCTAAAGCCAATTATCAAGCTTATGTTTTTAAATAAAACAGCAATAAACTAAAATTAACCATCAACACCTGAAAAGTGAATTTCTTCAAAATTAGTTGAATGGGTCCAAATCCTGTAATAAACTGAATATTTTAGTTTTTGGTTTTTTCAAATTTATAAAATAGAAATCTTTAATATTTAACAGCTTACATGACCTAATGGATTATGTTTCAAAGCACACGAGACATACAAGCATGTGAGATCCTAGCACTTTTTACATCATTTATTGTGTGTTAATAAGCATGACAATGACAGCCATGTATCATCTCGGACTCCAAGTCACATTCAACTTTTGGTTCTTCTGTGATGTAACAAAGATCTACCAAAAGTTGTAAGCTATGGACCCGCGTTCACAATAATGTAAAAATAAAACAATGCAATATGTATCTTTAGTCTATATCACAAATTTCAAAGTCTTTTTCTTGCGTTATTATACCTAACTACAATCATGGCGAAATGTTACTTGTTACATTCAGGATGGATTATTGTTTAGAAGAATTGTTTCAGCAACCATGGATTGGATGAGCCATGGGCGTCATACAACTTGCACTTTTTTAACATGATATATTGACCAAGTTATCTATTTTGATATTTTATTAAGTATCAAGTATTCTACGCTGAGCTGCTTTCAAGGTCCCACATCTCTACCATGAAGCACGAAATCAAAAAATTCAAAAACACTTTTTTACTAGAAGGGGATTTCTCATTTGAGTTTGATTTTGTTTTATAGAAATACCCAAATTATTTTCTAACTGTCAAATCGTTTCGAATTTATTCATTGTGAAGAACTAAAGCGTTCGCCACACTTGTGTTGTTTTTTGTCACACAGTATCCGACGAAGTAGACATTTAGTTGTGTTCGAATTAAACTGAGTGATGTTCTTTGCTCAAATTATACAAACAAAGTGTTAGTTTTTCGAGATAAATCTTATATTTTAGGCACATGTTTGAAAAATTTTGGTAAAGTTACCATAATGTAACCTAATATGGCAAAAACGATTTAGTTCTTCACCACATTGAAAGTTTTATTTACAGGTTTTGCTTGAGCAGTATTTTTATTTACTCCGTATCTCATTACTTTTTTAAATTGAGCACTCAGTTTTAATGTAATTCAAAATTGAATATAAGGTTTGGTCTGTAAGTTTTGTTATTAACACGGTTTTATTTAATTTTTTTTAACTAATTTTCTCCGCTTTTCGTGAAAAAATAGTACAAAATTTAGAGTAAATAATAATTTGAATAAAAACCTAAAGCAGCCTATATTAATAATAAAAATTGGTCAAATGTTATTTCGATAGAACTTCCCTTGCTCCTGAAGTACACCAAATCCAGCTTTTTCGAAAATATAATAAAATACACTCAGGAAATGAAAATAATCAGAATACATTCAGACATAAAATTTCTACTAAACTGACTGGAAATCATAACCTACCTGGGTAATTTCGTATGAAATATGTAAAATTTTCATTTCAAGAGTATGGATTTTTTTGGTAGATAACCTCAACACTCTGTATAATTTTGTGCCGAAAAACATCAAGGGGTTTTGGGGTCACATTATAGATGATTGGATAAATAAGGACCATCAATAATGAAGCAACGGTAATGACGATTTATTGGAATTAAGAATTACTGTTATAAATATAATATTAATAACAATAACACAAATTTACTACTTTGTTTGGAAAAATCTAATTTTGATCCAAAACACCTGCAATAGTTGCGAGTCCTTGAGTTTTACCAATGGATTGCACCGGTCACGGGTAACACTGCAAGTAATGAAAAAATTCAATGAATTTAATGATCGCAAAAGAAATTTGGCAAAAGAATGTTATAAAAGTTATCACAGTCCAAATATCTACTTCGGCAACACTGTTGTTGAACCAATCCCCAAAACGCGAAAAATTTCACAGTACAGTAGGTTATAATAAAAAATATTGCGAACAAGATGTACCGAAATCTACAATTTAAGGTACGCTAAGCCGTCATACTTTATACATATACAAGACAAGCTAAATATATTTATACAGTTCAATAAAATCTATTTTCTGGCCTACTTTGTAAGACGAAGCGTTACTATATTTATTCCTATCTGTAACAGCGAGGTGTAACGACGTAAGGTTAATTGGCGTCACTCAAACTGTGAGTAGAAAATACCAAAATAGAAAACTTGAGTAAATTAACAAAATAATGTGTCGAGTAAAGGAATGTTAACTTGATATGTTCTAATTATTATACACATGTAACATTCGTTTTAAATAAATTAAGCTCATACAGCACAGTGATGACACTAAAAAAGTTAAAAACTGTTATAATAAAATGCTTTGACTGAATGAATGGATTTACCAGTATTAATACAAAAATTAAAATAAGAAATCATTAATACAAAGTTTAATATAGTTCAGTCACCCAAAATAGTATATTTACAATTTATTATTGATACAAAAAACTACAAGCTACAGCATAACTTACAGTTTCAGCTTGATCCGGACATAATTCTTTGAAAATTTTTTCAATCAATGCACGCCTGAAAATTCATATTGTTGTTATAAGTGAAAGAAAAATTTCTAAGTACTCACTTTGCAGCTAAACCACCGCCCGGAGGTAACCCTTCAATGTTGAGAGACACAAGTTTATGTAACACCATGGAGAACTCATTGTCTTCGTTTTCTTCTACAATTTCTGTAAACAAAAGAAAAATAAAAAACAATAAAACACTAACTTCGAGAAAACAGGCATTTATTTAAACGATTTAAACATGTTACAAATGGCACAACAAACAGAAACAAACACACGTATAGAAGCCAAATTTAAACCAAAAAGTTAACACATGGAATACTCCACGGACCGGCCGCAGGAATTAACAACTTATGATTTAGCTTCGAGAAAGAAGTTAAGGGTGTTTATTGCTTAACAAGGAAACATTGTAACAATTTTTGATGCGAATCGGGCAGTCTCGCCTTAACTTCTTGTAAACGACAAATTTTAACAACACAGAACGTGGTTAATGACACAACAAAGAACAATCAGGAAGACAATTTTTGAACTGCTAAATTATATTTGAATAAACTATAAAAAATATTTATTATAAAAGGTATACTTTACATGACTAGAGGTTTATTTACATTTGGTGTGTGTAATTTTTAAAGCAAAAATTGTCAGGGAGATCACAAAGAGAATTCAGAGATCTCGAGTTAAAGCTAATGTCTTTTTGAATAAGGTTGGAAATATGCAAATACGTTTTATTTTCGCAATTTTTAAAATGTTTTATACACCTTGACACCTAGGTTGAAGAGGTCGAAGGATGAGAAGTAAGTTATGTTTTAATTATTATTTTAACGTATTTTATAAACAATTAATTCGTATTTAATACTATGTCTTTTAATTCACTTGTCGCGTCATTGTTTCTATTGTGCGTTCCGGTTTCACTTGGTAGCTTACAAAACCTACTTATTTCTGAGTTGATATATGAATCTTACACAAATTATTATAAAATTTTGTAGTAAATCGAATTATTTCTTAAAATTTTAAAATTGGGTTTCTTACAATGTAACTTTTGTTGAATTAGTGTTGTTAAATTGTTATTAAAATCTTTTTAATCAAACGAGGTTTTTATTACTGAAAATTTTGTAATTGATTTGCAGCAAAGTAATAGTTAATACACAAAAATTGTTTTTGGATAATGAAAAGCGTAAATACAAGTACTTCTTAATTACAAAAATTATTTTAGACCATAATCTACAACTTTTGTCGCTGATGACTTTAAATCTTCAATAAAAAAAATCACAAATTGCATTTTTCAATACATCTTTTGTGGAAGTAACAAGGAAATATTTTTTTGATAGAAATTTAAAAACACTAGTACAGTAGAAGTTACGTCATTAGAATGTTAGAATCAGTATTGTTTGGTTATATTACAGTTAAAAATCTAAGACAAATTTTGTACAGTTTTTGACCTATGTATGATGTGATAAATAACCAAAAAACGCAATTTTAAAATGATGAAAATTCGAGAAGTAATTCAATTTACTATGAAATTTTAATACACATATAAAAATTAAATTTTAAAACGAACAAAAGCGAAATAACAAAACTTGATGTAAGACAATTTGTGTAAGATCATGTATAGTTTTGGAAATTTCATTCTACCCTACAAAATTTTATTGGCAATAACGAGACGGACAATAGTACAGTAGCAAGAGATATTTACAACTTAAGTTGGCGCGTGCCGGTAATCCCCAGATGTTAGAAAGCATCATAGGGACCATAGTTACTCATGAACAAAAATGACCATTATACTAAATGTTTTCAGACAAATTTGGAGTGAACTGGTGTGCGCCATAAATATTTCTTACCATTGTACTACTGTCCGTCTTGTTATCGTCAATAAAATTTTATAGGGTAGAATGAAATTTCCAAAACTATATCAACTTCTTCAGAAATCGCTAGGTTTTTGGATAATTGACAACATCGCCGCCAATTCTCCCATATAAAATGCATTGCTTACGGGTTTTGTACGCTGCCAAGTCAAAGCAGAATGGGCTTTAAACAGAAATATTAATCTTTTACAGTTACTACAGAACAATTTTTTTTTTATTTGGTCCACGCTAGGGATGAAAATTTAACATTTGTCATTAATTAATATATGTAATATACCAGGTGTCTGGAAAATGGCCGATTAACTCTCCGTTATGCTCGTAACAATCAACTAGTGAGTCTGGGAAAAATAGTAAAAAAAAACCCTTCTCACTCACATTTTGGTAGTTGTGATGATTTTAAAATTGGTTCACTAGATTTTTTTTGTAAATTATTTAAAACAATTTTGGGAGGCTTTGGTGTTCTATTTTTGGAAAATTTTGTTCTTGAGTTAATTTTGAGATCCCGTTTTTTTCATTTTTTTTTTTTTGAAAAAATTAAAACATCTTGAGATTCTACGTATTCCCGTTTGGAAAGAAAATTTGGAGCCTCTAGTGTCTTTTCTTATAATAACCTAATTAAATTTCTTAGTGGATATGATAGCATTTGCTAAAATCAGTCTTATCTTAGCAGCTACTAGCCCCACCCACCCGCCCCTATTTTCTTGGAGGATATCTCATTTGCCAAAATCAGTCTTATCTTAGCAGGAACTAGCCCCGCCCACCCGCCCACTTTTTTCTCAGACGATATCTCATCTGCCAAGATCAGTCCTATCTTAGCAGTTACTAGGCCCGCCCACCCACCCTCTCTTTGCTTATAAGGTATATGATTTGCCAAAATCAGCTTTCCTTAGTACTGATGACTAACATTTCGAGTTTACTGATATGCACAAGGCAGGAATTTTGAATATCTTCTCAAGTGTTTATTTGGTTATGGTTAAACGGATTTTTCTTTTGTTTGTATTGTTTTTGTTAAGAATTTATAAATAATGTCTTATTAAATGTTTTTTTTTGGTTTATTTATTAATGAAAAATAACAGCTTGTTTTATCAATATTAATGACTACTGGTTTTTATGGTCATTGTCCTAAAAAAAATTAAATAAAAGGTCGATTTCAGTCACCATCGCTACTAAGAAATCAGAAAGTAAGTGTGCATTAGGTGCGTGCAGTGTTGCCAATTTTACTTTTATAAAATTACGTTTTTTTCGAATCGAACCGCACATATCCCGTTTGCCGGGCAGGTGCCTTCACCACTAGGCAAGAGAGCGACTGATCTTTACTTTGTTTACCCAGCTATTATTTTGCCGGCACAAATGTAATCATGACGCGCTGGATCGCCGGGACTCAGTAGCGGGTGATAATCGCTGAATTTAATCATCACTTATTCCATAAATACAATTAACGAAAACGTAACTAGTAAAAGGGCTAAGTAACCTTGCCTAACCCGACAACCATCCACTGTCTAGTAATCATAGAAAGAATATTATATCGTAACCTCCCTTTTACATCATAGTTTGCTTTTTACTGTTTTACTGTTGTGTATATACATATTTTTTTCATGATACTATTATTGTGACAATGGATAGTAGTGAAAGTGAACCACCAGAAACTGAGAAAAGTCACAACAAATTTCAGTAAGTAATGTTGATTTTTTTTGTAGATATCTGCAAATACTTTGATTAGAGAATTTGATAATAAGCTTCCTAATATACAAATTGACAAATAATATCCTCTATATGAGCACCTAAAAATAAACTATTTAATAAAATGTGTTCGTTTGACACGCTTTATTACTCATTTAAGAACAGATATTTATATCACTCATTTTAGTCATCATAGGCCACTGATAACTGTATTAACGACAATACATGGAAATTTACTTTAATTAACCCAATCATCATTTTATCAAAAAAAAAGCAACATATTTTTGGTTTTTATTTTTTTGTAAGAGAAACTGTTTATTTTTTTAAATTTATATAAATTGATACGCAGAGTTAAAACTTCATCCGTGCGTCCCTGGGTCGACGCACTCTTTTTTTTTAATTATTGTTTTGTAACTCCCGAAACCTCCGTACATAACGTACTGAAGAGTTAATCCGCCACTTTTCAAACACCCGTTATAATGGTATGTATATAATATTCTTGAAAGCAGAATATTGAAATTGGTAACAAAGATTAAGAAAATTCAAGTCAGTGAAGTGGAACACTAATTATTTAAACACAGTTTTGTTTTTCTTCATAAATCTGCTCATTAATAAACGAAACCATTAATATTTCTGTCAAACTTACAATGATTCTGGTTGGTTGATTATATTCCATCATAAATCGAAATCAACACGATTTAAATTTTTTGCTTTCTGAGTTCTACCACGTTGTGTAGACTCACTTTCTTTAGAATCATTACATCTGATAATGAGGCACTTAAAGTTTCTAGTACCCTAAACCACGATTACCTTAATTTTTTTTTGTTTAATTTTATTCAATTACAATTATTAAAAATGAAGGAAGTACGTTACAGTATATATATTAAATCTGCATTGGTTTTTCCTATTTTATTTTGTTATTAATATAAAATCAATACTGTAGAAAACGGTTCAAGCCAGTTTAAAATTTTTTTCGTGTGATTAAAATGTAAATTGAAGAAACAAAAAGTGAAATATTGAAAAATGAAAAACTGTAATATCGAAAAATTGCAAAATTGAAAAATTACAAATTGAAAAACCGAAGAAACGAAAAGTGAAAAATTTGGAAGTAGGTGAATTGAAAATTTGAAAAAATTTAAGTTGTAAAAACGAAAAATTATGACACTGAAACACGGAAACATCAAATAAAAAGAAAAAATGAAAAATAAAAATCAATAACTTGAAAAATTGAGGAAACAAAAAATTCAAATATAGAAAAATGAAAAACTAGAATATCGAAAAATTGCAAACTTGAAAAACTGAAGAAACGAAAACTTGAAAATTTGGAAGTTGATGAATTGAAAATTTAAAAAAATTTAAGTTGTAAAAACGAAAAATTATGAAACCGAAACACGGAAAAATTAAATAAAATGAAAAAATGAAAAATTGTGATAACAAAAAAATTGTAAAATCAAAGAAACAGGAAAAATGAAAAATTGTAATCTAAAATCAATGAAATTTAAAAATCGGAAAAATGAAAAATAAAAATCAAGAACTTGAAAAATTGAGGAAACAAAAAATTCAAATATAGAAAAATGAAAAACTAGAATATCGAAAAATTCCAAAATTGAAAAATTACAAATTGAAAAACTGAAGAAACGAAAAGTTGAAAATTTGGAAGTTGATGAATTGAAAATTTGAAAAAATTTAAGTTGTAAAAACGAAAAATTATGAAACCGAAACACGGAAAAATTAAATAAAATGAAAAAATGAAAAATTGTGATCTAAAATCAAGAAATTGAAAAATTGAGGAAACAAAGAATTCAAATATCGAAAAATGAAAAATTAGAATAACGAAAAATTCCAAAATTGAAAAATTACAAATTGAAAAACTGCAGAAACGAAAAGTTGAAAATTTGGAAGTTGATGAATTGAAAATTAAAAAAAAATTAAGTTGTAAAAACGAAAAATTATGAAACCGAAACACGGAAAAAATGAAAAATTGTGATAACAAAAAAATTGTAAAATTAAAGAAACAGGAAAAATGAAAAATTGTGATCTAAAATCAATGAAATTTAAAAATCGGAAAAATTAAAAATAAAAATCAAGAACTTGAAAAATTGAGGAAACAAAAAATTCAAATATCGAAAAATGAAAAACTAAATAAACGAAAAAAGTAAAAATTTGGAAGTCGATAAATTGAAAGATTGAAAAAATTTAAGTTGTAAAAACGAAACATCATGAAACCGAAACATGGAAAAATGGAAAAATTGAAAGATTATACACAATGAAAAAACGAAAAACTGTGACAACAAAAAAATTTTAAATCAAAGAAAACAGAAAAGTGAAAAATTGTGATATCAAATCGAGAAAATGAAATTTAAAAAAATCGGGAAATGAAAAATAAAAATCAAGAACTAGAAAAATTGAGGAAACAAAAAATTGAAATACCAAAAATGAAAAACTGTAATGTCGAAAAATCGAAAAAATTTAGGACCCAAAAACGAAAAATTATGAAACCGAAACATGGAAAAATGGAAAAATTGTACAAAATGAAAAAACTAAAAATTGTGATAACAAAAAATATGTAAAAGCAACGAAAAAGGAGAACTGAAAAATTGTGATATAAAATCGAGAAAATAAATTTTAAAAAATCGGGAAAACGAAAAACTGTAATTTCGAAAAATTGTTAAAAAATACAAATTGAAAAACTGAAGAAACGAAAAAGTGAAAAATGTTGAAGTCGATAAAAAAATTTAGTACGCAAAAACGAAAAATTATGAAACCGAGACATGGAAAAATGGAAAAATTAAATAAAATGAAAAAATTAAAAATTGTGATATAAAATCACAAAAATGAAAAATTGAGGAAACAAAAAATTCAAACATCGAAAAATGAAAAACTAGAATATCGAAAAATTGAAAGATTGAAAAAATTTAAGTTGTAAAAACGAAACATCATGAAAACGAAACATGGAAAAATGGAAAAATTGAAAGATTATACACAATGAAAAAACGAAAAAATGTGATAACAAAAAAATTTTAAATCAAAGAAAACAGAAAAATGAAAAATTGTGATAACAAATCGAGAAAATGAAATTTAAAACAATCGGGAAATGAAAAATAAAAATCAAGAACTTGAAAAATGGAGGAAACAAAAAACTGAAATATCGAAAAATGAAAAACTGTAATGTGGAAAAACTGAAAAAATTTAGGACGCAAAAACGAAAAATTATGAAACCGAAACATGAAAAAATGGAAAAATTGTACAAAATGAAAAATTGTGATATAAAATCGAGAAAATAAATTTAAAAAAATCGGGAAAATGAAAAACTCTGATTTCGAAAAATTGTTAAAAAATGCAAATTGAAAAACTGAAGGAATGAAAAAGTGAAAAATGTTGAAGTCGATAAATTGAAAAACTGAAAAAATTTAATACGCAAAAACGAAAAATTATGAAACCGAAACATGGAAAAATGGAAAAATTAAATAAAACGAAAAAATGGAAAATTGTGATGTAAAATCACAAAAATGAAAAATTGAGGAAACAAAAAATTCAAATATCGAAAAATAAAAAACTAGAATATCGAAAAATTACAAAATTAAAAAAATTTAATTTGTAAAAACGAAACATCATGAAACCGAAACATGGAAAAATGGAAAACTTGAAAGATTAAAGACAATGAAAAAACGAAAAACTGTGATAACAAAAAAAATTTAAATCAAAGAAAACGGAAAAATGAAAAATTGTGTTATCAAATCGAGAAAATGAAATTAAAAAAAAAATCGGGAAATTAAAAATAAAAATCAAGAACTTGAAAAATTGAGGAAACAAAAAATTCAAACATCGAAAAATTGAAAAAATTTAGGACGCAAAAACGAAAAATTATGAAACCGAAACATGGAAAAATTGTACAAAATGAGAAAACTAAAAATTGTGATAACAAAAAATATGTAAAAGCAACGAAAAAGGAGAACTGAAAAATTGTGATATAAAATCGAGAAAATAAATTTAAAAAAAATCGGGAAAATGAAAAACTGTAATTTCAAAAATTGTTAAAAAGTACAAATTGAAAAACTGAAGAAACGAAAAAGTGAAAAATGTTGAAGTCGATAAAAAAATTTAGTACGCGAAAACGAAAAATTATGAAACCGAAACATGGAAAAATGCAAAAATTAAATAAAATGAAAAAATGTGATATAAAATCACAAAAATGAAAAATTGAGGAAACAAAAAATTCAAATATCGAAAAATGAAAAACTAGAATATCGAAAAATTACAAAATTGAAAAAATTTAAGTGGTAAAAACGAAACATCATGAAACCGAAATAAGGAAAAATGGAAAACTTGAAAGATTAAACACAATGAAAAAACGAAAAACTGTGATAACAAAAAAATTTTAAATCAAAGAAAACAGAAAAATGAAAAATTGAATATCAAATCGAGAAAATGAAATTTTAAAAAGTCGGGAAATGAAAAATAAAAATCAAGAAATTGAAAAATTGAGGAAACAAAAAATTTAAATATTGAAATGAATAATTGTAATGTCGAAAAATTGAAAAATTAAAAAAATTTAGTACGCAAAAACGAAAAATTATGAAACCGAAACATGGAAAAATGGAAACATTGAAAAATTAAACAAAATGGAAAAAGGAAAAATTGTGATATAGAATCGAGAAAAAGAAATTTAAAAAATCGAGAAAATGAAAATTAAACACAGTACTAGTATTTTAACACATGGGAGCAAGCAACAAAAATTATCGAGTGGCAGTGATATTTCTTGTCTTTTATAAGTGTGTTCACTGTAGAAATGTGGAAAGTAAGAAAAGTTAGTTTAAACTATATAACGGAAAACGTAAAGCAGTTGGTGTCAATTGTATGAAACAGATATTACGTCTGGGAGAAACGCCGTTTAAAATTAACTCTGTTTTGTATGTTTTTTGACATTTTATAATTTGTTATTTTTAGCTAAACGTTAGATTAAAATTAGATTTGATAGAAACCAACAAAATGAAGAGGAAATGCTCGCCTTCCGATCACAGACAAGTAGGCACCTTCTTCTATTTTGCGTAACTTTGATAACTTAGCAGTTTTTCAGACGACACTAACAGAGATATGGGAGATACAGACTGCTATACCTGGAAGTGATAGTAAATGTTACCTTTTGATGGTATTGTCCTCAAATTGTTTTAGTGGGTCTCTGAAGTCCCATATCTCCAGATTTGTTTTTGCCAGAATTGCATTAAAATTTTCCTAGATCACAGTTAGCTTTCGTTTATTTATAAACACTTCACTGTGAATAAATTTTGTATTAAAAATTCGAAATTTTAAATGTAACTTTTATTTATTTATTTATTTATTAATTTTTACTATAGAATTTAATGTTTTCAACAAGATATATCAACATATGCACATATACGAAACTAATGTTACAGCAAATATGTAGTACAGGAATTTTTATATATCACTCTTTCCAAAATTCGAATGCAACCAGTGTTTTAATATCTCCGAAGAATCCTAAAGAATTATTTTTATCATTAATGAATTTATTAAAATATTGTTTTTACTATCTTTCATGATTAAATATTTTATTAAATCTATGTATGCAAAAAAAAACCTCTGAACAGTCGGAGTCAGAAAGTCATTAGATACGAAAATTAAGAGCGGGATATTGCTTGTAAACAATACTGAGGTACCTGTTATTATTAAATATCTCTACGTTTCATAGGCCACTTCAAATGTGAATTTTTACAAATACTTTCTTACTTTTGTTATAGATTTATCACAATTGCTGTTGCATATTACTCATCCTTTACAATACTGTTAAATAGGTGGATCAGATGGTGAAGAACTTCTAGGAGTGCTAAGAAATAAAATTTAATGTGCACACCATCTAATCTCCCAAAAGACCTCTGCATTCCTAATAATTCATTATTATTATTATTATTATTAAAACAATACATGTTATAATATACGTCTGAACACATACACTTTGGTAAGGTATTTCTAATATTAGGAAAATATCACGAGTCTAGTTTAAGTGGGATTGACACTTTTAAGTTCTTTGTTGATTGTGACTTAGTATTTATCACTATGGTAAGTTTTAGGGAATATTCTATATTAATACTGAGGGTTTACTAATGGTCAAGTTGACTAGATTGACTGGAATTGTTTGTAAAAGGGCAGTTCAGATCAGAGTTACGAAATTTGCAACTTCAATATTCGCATAAAGTGCCACGTTATGGAATAATTTTGGTCAAGATTTGGTAAATTACGAAAAATCACATGAAAATGCAAAGAAGCATTTTTAAGGACGAAAAGCTTCTATGCAGAGCACAAATAAATGAGTTTCGTAACTCTTAAAACAAAACAAGTAATAATAAACAAATGAAGAAAACAACATAAAAAGCACAGCTATTATTAAAGGACTGTTTAAAAAGCAAAGACCAGGCAATGACTAGAGTATTAGAACCTCAAGTGCTAAAGTCACACTCGGTTGAAACGAAAATGTCAAGTAATGTTAAATGCCTTGACAAGTAAAAAAATTAAAACAACCTTTTATGCGCCTTTCCAAGGTGGCATCTAATTCTTTTTCGGCTTCAATTGCTTCCTGGGTAGGGGTTGGAGCTCCAGGGAATACAACTAATACAATACTCATGTTATCTCGGCTACCCTAAAATAATCACCCACGATATAATTCAAACACGTAAAACCTCTAAACACGACTTACCTTGTATAAACATGTATCAATGACTTGACTGGTAACTTCCTGTAAATTATCAGTAACTAAAAGACGATTATGTATGTATTGACAGAGATCCTCGTTGCTCATCACATCCCAGATACCGTCACACGCCAGTACCAAAAACTCATCCTCGTTGTCATCTCGATCTTTGACGAAAATTTCCGGTTCGGGTGAGACCAACTGCTCGCAGGGTCCTCTACCTTCCACGTTTTTGTATTCGTAATCGCCCAGAGCTCGAGATACCGCTAGACTACCGTTCACCCTTTGAATCATGACATTACCTCCAGCCTTGACGATACGCTCTCGTTCAGAGGGCAAACTCGGTTTGTGGTCCTGCGTGGTGAACACAGGACTTCCGGCTCTACAAAGTACCGCACGGGAATCGCCACAATTTGCTATGTATATTAGTCTCGGAGAAACGAACGCGCACACAGCTGTTGTGCCACTTTTATCTTCTCCAGACGTCATTTCAGGTAACGAGCGCATTTTATTATCTAACTCTAGGAAACCGTTGTGTATGCCCTTCATCACGTCCTCCTGGAATTCCTCCGTTTGCATGATGGCGTCAAGCAGATGCTCAGCACAGTGAGCCGATACCTTCATAAAACATAAAACAAGATAATATAAATTATTTATACACAGGGTACTTTAGGGAAGAATGCCTGGTCCAAACATTTTGGTACAGACGGCAAACAGACAGACAGACGGAAACGGGAGACCTACTTTTTTGTACTTAAGAACAGAACTTCCCTCGCTCATAAAGTACAGTACAACAATTCTCGCTGTTTCCAAAAATTATAAGATTTGATTTTGCGAATTTAATTGTTTTATGATGACTCTTATACTCGACTCGATCTTAGTATAAACGTATAAATTTTAATTAACGATTTGCCATAGTTCCAATAACTTTAAAACGTTTATAAAATTTCAGAACATTTTTTTTTAATTTATTTTGTTGTCTACGATAAAAACTCCATACGGATCCATAAATCGTACGTGCACGAGTATGTTCTTTTATAAAATTTAAATAACATTAACTACTGCAAAATTTGAAGATGATGTCATTCCATTGTTGGAGAATTTTAAATAACGTTTTATCATTTACACGACATTCCTAACATATGTATGTACAAAATTTGACAACGATCCAGTAAAACGGAAGATTATCTGTCAAATAAAAATCGACAGACAGGTCGACGGAAACGGGGGACTATATACTTTTGGTGTCATAAAATGTCGAGAAAACATGAAAGTAAACAGTCGCCCAATGTATGGCCACCTTCGGGAACGAGTCAGTCTCAGTCAACGAGTGGAGTAAGGACGAAGTTGAGTCTAGTCAAATCCATTCCAGTCGGAATTATTTTGTTCATAATCGTTGTGCAATTAATTAGTCGTGTAAATTTGTTGAGTTTTACCCACGCCGATTTTAAATTACCGATCAACGCAACAACATAAATGGGAACTAATTATTTAAGTGAATTTTTTAACTATTCGGTTAGTTACGTAGGACAGTGAATAATTCACATGTGTAGTATACAACTTTTTTGCGATAATTAAATTGCGGCAGTAAAATTTAGCTAGCAGTATAAAAGAATTTGATTCGTGATTTAATCACACCAGCAGTGCAAAATTTACTCGAGCGGTAGATTCAATAAATATACGGTGCAGTTATGATTTGAGCGGTAAAATAATTGAATGGGCAGTTAGATCATAATAGTTTGTCAGTTTCAACATGCTCTTTAAAATTTCGATGGATATTTTTGCAATTTTGTTGATTTTGTTCGAAACTATACCGGGTGTCTGGAAAATGGCGGATTAACTCTTCAGTATGTTATGTACGGGAGTATAAAAAAATAATAAAAAAAATCTTTATGATGTAGAATACGAAAAAAAAAAAAAAACGTAGTTTTATAAACGTAAAATTGGCAACACTACACGCACTTACTGCGTGAGCATCTCCGGTTTACTTTCAGATTTCTTAGTAACGATGATGACTGAAATCCACCTTTTTTTTTAGAACAACCAAAACAACCAGGGGGGCTAGTAGCTGCTAAGATAAGACTGATTTTGGCAAATGAGATATCTAAAAAAAGAGGAGAGGGTGGGTGGGCGGGGCTAGTACCTACTAAGATAAAACTGATTTTGGCAAATGAGATACCCTGTAAGAAAAGAGAGGACCGGTGGTCGGGGCTAGTACCTGTTAAGATAAGACTGATGTTAGGAAATAACGTATCCCCTAAGAAATTTAATTAAATTATTGTAAAAAAAGACACTAGAGGCTCCAAAGCACCTTCAATTTCTTTCCAAACAACGATACCTAGAACTTCAAGATTATTTTGAATAAAAAAAACGGCACCCCAAAATTCTCAAAAACAGGTCAAGTCAGAATTTTCCAAAAATAGAAGACCAAAGTCCTCCAAAATTATTTTAAATAATTTACAAAAAAAAATCCACATGGGCTCCCAAAATAATACACTATGGGTACCCAAGAGTCTCCCAAATAAATAATAATAATAAAAAAAAAACTGCGGCACTCAAGACTTTTTCAAATTTGTAAAAAATAAAACACTAAAAACTCAAAAGATTTTTTCAAGTTCATCCTGCAACAAAACACCAGATTCCTTTAAATAAAACACTAGGGACCTAAAATTAACTGCGAACATTTAAAAAGTAGGGTTTTAAAAACTTTGACAATTTTTGATACGTCAAACATTTTTAACTGTTTACTCAATTTTTGCTGATTTGTACCTTCGCTTTATATCAGGCAAACATGGTTGTCAAATGGAATTTTATGAAATTATTACAAAAACAACACAACCATATCTTTGTACATTCTAACTGAAATGGTAATTAAACATTATTAGTTATTGTTTCCTTTATGAAATTGATTCAATTAAAAATTTAATAAAATTCAAAATTGTCAAAAATAAATAATTACTCGAGCATGGTGGAATAATTATTATTACAACCTCCTCGTAATTACGTAAGTTCCGCTCTCAAGCGCTTTTTTCTCACTTCAATTCTCGTGAGTACCGCGTCACTCACATATTTTTTGGTTGCTATCCATTGTTAGTTTTCATTTTACTAACTGCTTAATTTAAACTAAATAAAAACTATATGTATGAGAACTATTTAAGTCAATATTTCTAGCGGACTGATTCCGAATTAGTAACTGTTTACACGTAACTGCCTATTTATTCATTTTACTATCCAATTTGATTTTTGCTCATTCAAACACTTATTGAGCTACTCATTTTAAGATACGTTACTGCTCATCCCAAATTTTGTATTGCTTATATTTTATTGGCCAATATGCTGATTTTTTTTGGGGGTCAGGGGTGGGATTTTGTTTCTACCGATACGATACGAAGCGATAAATGACAAGGACGAAAATATAAATTTCAAATGCGAAAGAAAAAGACGACTACATTTTATCGGTACCGATATTTTATCGTTATAGAAACAAAATCCCACCCCAGGTTACGGTTAGGTTAGCCTGGTCAAGATAGGGTAGGTTAGGTAGATAGTAGTCTGAAATATTTTTCACCCTTCTGCTCAAAAGTGACGAACTAAATTTAATATTTATCAATATTCGTCAAGAAGTGTTTTCTTTTTTAGTGTTTCATGAAGCGATAAATTCAGTCTGCTAATTTTATGTTTTTGTAGCGTATAAACACAACTACGCTTCGATGAGGATTTTTAAATCCCGTACTACGTAATGTCACATAATGAAGTATAGTTCATGGTGTTGCGCACCGTAGCCATATGTTATAGTTTTGAAAATTTCATTCTACCCTGTAAAATTTTATTGACGATAACGAGACGGACAGTAGTACAATGGTAAGAAATATTTATGGCGCACACCAGTTCACTCGAATTTGTCTGAGAACATTTAGCAAATAGTTGTACTCATAAAATAATGGTCATTTCCGTTCACGAGTAACGATGGTCCCTGTCCAGACCTGGATTATTCTGCTTTCTTCTGCTTTCTAACATCTAGGGATTACCGGCACGCGACAACTTAAGTTGTAAATATCTCTTGCTATTGTACTTCTATCTATCTCGTTATTGCCAATAAAATTTTAAGGGTACAATGAAATTTCCAAAACTATACTTGATCTTACATTTTGCGGGAGTTCGATTGTTTATGGCAGCACAAACTAATTACGTGATATCTTCTACGATCTGTGGTAATTTTTCACAAAATTATTGCATTGGTTGGATGCACGAACTTGTATTGTAAAAATTTTGAAACTGTGGCTTACTGTACCAATGTGGATGAACTATGTTCTATACTCATGTCCTAGATATTGTCGCAAACAAGTTACGAACTATTCCAATTTAGTTCATCTCCGACGTCACAGAAAACTTTTTCGAAAATTTGGTAAAACAGTGAGATTGATTTAGGGATTTCAAGATATTATTATTGAAGTCAACGATTTATTACTTAATAACTCGAATTACACGACAACTATTACAGCGAATTATGTACAGAATAACATTGTGGTGCGACTTGCTGACTCTTCGTAACATTCGCTGGACTCGTGGTTCGACTGAATAATCGTTCCCGACGGTAGCCTCTATTTAAATCTCTGCATTTCTCTAGATGAATCCCGAACCCCGCATCTATGTTTTTTCTAGACCCTCGGCTTGTCTTTATGCGAACGCCGCGCTCGCCTTCGATGAGTCATCACCGGCGTACGACCAGAAAATTCAGGATGGCGCATAGGCGTCGTACCGGGGCAGCGTATAGGTTTAGTTCGTAACAATATCAACTAATACACATTTATTTCTCTATACTATTAAAAAAACTGGTAACATCATTTCAAAAATGATTGTATAAAATTTTATTGAAATAAGATACGGTACTACTTGCCTTTAAGAAATATGCTTTTATTTTTTAGTACGTATTTATTACAAGAGACACAAATGTACTCTGTTTTTCACAGACTTTGGACATCGGTACCGAGTACAGGTGGCATGGGATAAAATGCCCTAAGAAGACACTGATGACCACAGGTCATTCCCACAAAAAAAATTTTTTTTTAAACTACCCAATAGATAACACTGAAAATCTAATCAATTTTTAGTCTAACAACCGTTTCTATTTTTGTGATTCAGTACACAATTTTTTTTTCCAAAAGGAGAAAACTCAAAGCGGATTCAAAACTATAAGTACAGGAGTTTGTTTTTTTATAAAATTAAATGATATTTATTATGAAAACAACAATCGGTCCGATAGTTTCGGAAATTATATCTCTCTAATACACATAGACATAGACGCCAGATAGCGCACAGACGGAAACCGGAACCTATCGTTTCGTACTCTAAGTAACAAAATGTTAGAAAACATGAATATAGTCAGTCATTCGTCGGATGTACCATATTACAATACTCAATTAGCTTACCCTCAGGAAATAAAAACGGGACAAAGCTGCAGATATTCTAGTGACTACTTTAACAATATCGATCAGGAAAATTTTGAAAAATGGTTTAAGGAACAGTCCTACCGAATCTGTCTGAACCTTATCTTATTTTAATGGATAATGGTAGATATCATTTTTTTGTGATTAATTAAACCAAAACAAAACTTGGATAATAATGGAAAGATATGAAAATGATTACATGGTTAAATAAGAAAAAAATAACAATTATGGAGACAATTGTTTTGATGGAAATAACTTTTTTGGGTTTTTGGACAATATTTATTCAAATTATTTTAGTTTTATCAAGGTTTCTGAATACGCGTTTCCTTTAGCAGGAAATTTCTACAGGAATGGCTCGTATTAAGATTAAATTAGCAAAGAATCCAAAAAATTGATTTTGGACATTTTGTTCTAAAACTGTCCGCATACCATTGTCATTTTAATGCCATGGTGTGGTCGGAATGTTTTCAGTATTGTTAAATAGTCAACTACAAGTAGTTAAAAATGTTGTTCAATTACTGTTGGTGAAGTTAACTATGTATTTAACTACATTTTTAATTACATTCTTGAACAGTCTTTTCTCAATATTGCTGGGTTTTGGAAAAGCGGGTAATTTGTTGTTGCAAAAGTAACAGGTAACAAGGGCATTTTTTTCCTGGTATCAACAGGGATATCTGCTCTTTTTAATCCGCAATTTTGTTATTGTTGATTACCAGACCAGCTAAAATTTTCTTCTTCAGTTGCTCAGTTCAGTTCAACCTGTTGAAAACAGTGTCCTGCGTCTAATTCAATTTTGCGATGGAAAATAATTTGCTACTTATCTTTAAATCAGATTTAAATAATTGAAGTGAATGGTGATAAAATTAAAGCGAAGTGCCAATTTTTCCACGGAAGTCAGGGTATTAAGGAATGTTCATTTTATAAAGCGGATACTGAAAAATTGCTACTAATTCGAGTAGGTACTTTGGGCTAATTTATTTTTTTTTATTATAAAAATGTTTAACAATGTTAAATGAAATAATTATTCTTATTCTCTAATCAATTATACTCAGAAACTATAAAATTTTCCAACTATTGCGCGAATACCGCGAATCACTGTTTGCACAGGTTTGCACAGGTTTGGTTGTGATTTTCTTCGTAGCAGGAGGCCACATTTTTTTAAATTCTCCAAGTAAAGATGTTGTTCGGCCATCTTTTCTTAACACTGCTTTCATATTTGCCCATTATCGCTCACGCGGACGAAGCTCAGGACAGTTGGGTGGTTTATCTTCCTTTTTTAAAAACTGTACATTATTGGTATTAAGAAGCTCCTGAGTGGCACCAGCGTAGTGAACCGAAGCCAAATCTGGCCAAAACGATGGAGGGGTATGATGTTTGCGATAAACAGGAGATAATCGCGTTTTTATACATTCTTTCCTGTAATCATCGCCCCCAATTGTTCCAATCGTAAAAAAAAAACACTAAAACTTTTTAACCCACAGAAACAAATGGCTTGCCACACTAAGACTTTTTTCCCAAACTTTTCAATTTTTTTTGTTTTCATGTCATCGCGGACATCTTCCCCTACGACTGCATTATAAAACTGGGAGCCGGGTAGTGTATTGCAGTCCATTTTAACCTTCGTTTCTTTGTCCATGAAAACACAACGATTTTTGTTCCTGACCAAAATTGTTTATAACTTCGCGCTTTTTTTTTGAAACTGTATGCGCTGCTTTTCGCTTCTTTTTGGGATTTTTTGCTTTAATACGTTCTACTGTTATTCTGAGTCTTTATATTTTGTACAGTACCTACGGTAACACCTTGCTTCTTCGGTATTTCCCGCACAGACATACATTTCGTTAATTTTAGGAGCTTAATGATGTTTTTCTCAATATTTTCGATAAGCGAGCCTTTTCTCGGTCTGGATTTGAGCAAATCTTCTAAAGTATTAAACTCCCCAAACTTTTTGATTATTTTGAACACTGCTGATTTTGAACGTTTAGTTATTTTAGCCAGTTCCCCCAACGGAAATTTTTCGTAGCATCACTTTTGCAAAAATAATTTTCTTACCCCAATGGCGATTCGCTTCATTTTAAAAAGAAATAACGTTATTTTGAAAACAAAAATTGGCATTTAATAGATATAATTTAAAGCTCTCATATATAAAAACTAGAATAATTTAGATTAAAAATTAGAAAATTGGCGTTACTTTAAAGGTGTCCGTTTAATAAAATGAACACTCCTTATAAACGGTTGGAATAAATCAACCACTAACTTTTTAACACATATAAGGCTAAAACAAGTCCAATTTTGATTTTTTAATATTTCAAAACATCAGCTCAAAATAGATGACCAAATTTTAAGTAATTAAATTTATTTCAATTTTCAGAGAAAACGTCCAAATAAAGTGGACCTTTTGAACAACTTAATTATTGGTAAAGTTCCTAAAAGGCCAGCCAATAATTCCTTTAGCGAAATTGTAGGACAACCTCCAAATAAAATTAGTAAAGCTGCAACTTCCAATCCTTTTGCGATAGGATTAGCCTATTAGAATAGAAAAGTAATTTCTTCTGATCACGTAAAGAATTAGTTGTACATTTGATTTGCGATATAAATTAAGATCAATTAGAAATACCTTGATACTATATGATTTTTTTAGTGCAACGCAGCAGTTTTACGGTACATAATAATAAAAAATGCTGCCAATTTCTACAGTTGATAACGAAGCTTCAGAAATATGTTACATGTCGTTTCTAACGATGTGTTTAAACCTGTTTGACGCCAAACTTTGTCAAAACAAATTTCAAATGACATGGAGAACTGTAAGCGTAATCTAAAGAGTATTATGGAAACTCAAGATTTTGTGTGCATCAGTTCTGATAATATTTCGTCAAAAAACAATAAGAGCTTCTTTGGAGTTACGACCCATATTATTGATACCGAATCTCTTAAAAGAAATCTTTTTGTTTTGGCTTGTAGAAGAATTAAATATTCTCACACTCACGATCCAATTGGTAATATTCTGCACAACATACACCAAGAGTTTATTAGCGATATTAGTAAAATTAGCGGGACTGTAACTGATAATGCCAACAATTTTTGTAAAGCTTTCAAAATTTTTCGATACGAAAATACAAATGAAAATGGGTCTAGCTCATCTCAAATAGAAGTAAATAGGAAAAGAAACAGAAAAAGATGACGTTCAACAATTTAAATGTTGCTCACACACGTTAAATTAAACTTCTGATGAAATTGGAAATATATGTCACAGAAAATTGATTGTCGCTTGCGCTACAGTCTGGAACTCTGTTCGATTCTGTGGTGGTGATTTTGCAGATTCAAATCCGTTTAGATAAAATATATGAAGCTTTGGGAAAGCCAAAATTGTTACGTTCTCTGTTGAAGTTAAATGCGAAAAATGATCCAAAATCTCCATTATTTAAATGTGGATCATTTTTTGACTTAATGTCGCCAAAAAAACTTGAAATATAATATAACACCAATAGTTCTCAGATAGAAGTATTGGAATATTTCCAATCATCTAACAAAGACGTTATGATGTTAAAAAAAATTCCAAATATTTTAAAGATATTTAGGAAATATAATGTGTTACTTTTAGTTCCGGTGGCAAAATCCTGACGCCACCAAGGAAAAAATTAGATGACGAAAGTTTCGAGTCATTGTTATTTTTAAAACATAACAAATAGGTGTAATTAATATAAGCTGTTTTAATGTTAGTGAAGTTATTATTTTTAGTACTATATCTGTATTTTTATTAATATATGTATATTTTAGCAAAGTACTGTTTTTATTTATATAATGTAATTAAATGCATTTATTTTACGACAACCCCTATAAGTTAAAAAATATATATAGATAAGACAACACAACACAGACAGACGGAAACAGAAGAGATATTTTTTCAAACTCTAGGGGTCGTGAAACGTCGAAAAAAAGTGAAAGTAGCTACTCGTCGGATAAACTCTACTACAAGGCTTTCTTAGCTTATACGCTCGGAAAACAGAAAATTTTCGAAATTCGTTAATGATAAAAATACACCTTGGCATGCACGCGTATTTGTTATGCGTCACAGGTTAGAAGTCACGTGCAAACCTCTTTAGGGCCACATTAAATTAATTGACATTATCTATAAATAATTGTAATCCATATAAAATAATATAATAATCCCTGAAGATACATTAAGCACATTGCGAAACGTCGGTAAAAGTCTAAACCTTGTCAATTTCCCCATAACAAATTACTACCTTACGTAATAATAATGGGTAAAAACACAACCCGTCGTATAATATTCTTTCTTTATATGTAATATCACAAATAGATTTCACTAGGAACAATTTTCCAAAAATATTAATATTCAGAAAAAATGAGATCAATTAAAACAACAACTTAAGAATGCTCTGTCTCATAATTAATCTTCTTTCAATAAAAAAGGGATTAAACGTATTAGCAACAATTCTGATCAATTTTAACCTTTCTACTCCATTGTTGAGAATTTTTGCTTTTGAATTAACATGGAAACCAGTATAAACAAACTTTACTTGGTTCAAAGGTTCAAACTCTAAAGAATTCTAAACAAAAAATGATAATGTACAAATCCTATACCAATATAATATACTAACAAAAGTCCCATCATGCTACTTTTCAAACTGTAAATGTAAATAAGGAGCACAATGGTGGGACATACTGATAGGTACTTATCCTAATTAGTACATTTCACACATTTATGCAAATGATTTAACCTCAATCTTTTCGAGACTTCGACTGCTCTTTTACATTGTTTTCCTAACCTAATAGTTTAAAATGACGAAATACGTTCATAATGTTGTAAAAAACACGAAAAACTATATTTAGTGCTTTGATTTATTGTCTAGTACGTCACACGGCAGCACGTAATTAAACAACGGTTTTGCGCTCATAAGATCTTAATACACAAAAAATGTTCATCGAATCTGTCATATTTGAGGCATGTAGAAACGAAAGATGTAATTCCAACAATCATTTCATGCCCCGCATATCTATTCAACTACTTTATGTCAACAAAATAAATGTCTATCACTAGATTACTTAAACAAATATACGAGATATATTTACCTTTGCCCCAGCATGGCCATCGAAAACAGCAAAATAAGACCAGTCTTTAAGCGCGTCCCCAAGGTTCGTCCTAGCCATGTGGGCATCTTCCATCTCGACCCTCCAACCCTGCATGCTAGCCACTCCATATCGAAGACCATTGCCTTCTCCACACTCTTGGAATTTATCTGTCTTTGGTTTGTCAAGAAATGCTCCCATCCTGTTTGCTAATAGGTTGTATAAAATTTGTCAACGGCGCTCCATATTTCCTCAACTCCACGTGCTGTAAATTAGTGTATTTACCATAAAAACTTTCAAATATACCGTGTTTACGTGCTGAATTTTGACACTATCGACGATGTAAACAGATGCTATTTTAATATACGGATATCGGTTAGACAATGCACTTACTTTACTTTCCACAAGAAATCATCGCTTCAATTCTCTGGTCATTTACATAACAAAATCTCATGCTTTTTTAATAAACACACAACAATAAATTATAAAAATGGCGAATTTAAAAGACGTTACGCGTGCGCTTTGCTAAAAATAGAACTTCAAATGACGTAATTTTTCACCAATGAGCAACAATCAACAAACTGGCCGGACTGGTTTCTTATTAACTCGTTCAGATGGCGCCACTGTATTCAACTTTTCTGACGAAAAAGTTTATTTTAAATCATTTTATCCTTAAAACTAAAACTGTACGTCAGCTAAACCAGTTTACAACGATAAATCTAAATCTATAAAATCTGAGAACAGTTTTTTGTTAAATCGGGTTTTAACTATTGGTTTCAATAGATTACATTGGTGCCATTTCTTATCACCTTATCAGTTATAAATACAAACACTGTACATAAATTTATTTTGATTTTGTTTGATTATTATCATATTTGATGATAAGAACTTCGAGTCAGATAAATAAATTGACCCTTATGAGATGTGTTTTGCTATTAAAATGAAATTAAAAAATTGGTCTAAAAAGTTTAGACAGTACTTCCCTCGCTGTTGGAAATGTGACTACTGCATGCCTATTATGTTTTTTGTGCTGTTGAATGCGCCAAGGTCATTAAAAAAGGTTATAAATACAAAGAATTTATTTACACACGGGCATACATTACATGGGAAGAATGTCACGTAGACATTTGTTTGATTTGAATGAGTTTATTCTGAATGTTATTATTATAATTCTTACCTTATCATTATTTTATTGTTATAAAGACGAGCGTATTCTCAATTTTTTTGAGGCACCTGTTGAAGCAAATCTAAAAAATATGAATGGAAAATAAATAAATAAATAATTATATTTGTCATGTTTATGATTTGTAGTTTACTTTCTTTTATTTCCCGAGCATAAGCAAACGAAGTATTGTAATCGAGTCCGTTGGCCGACTCTCTACTTTTACGTTTTCGAGACCTTTCGTGACCCTTTCCAGTTTCCGTCGATCCGTCTGTCTGCGTTCCCGATTTTTATTAAACAGATAATCTCCGAAAGTACTGGATCGATTGTTGTCAAATTTTGTATTTATATTAAGAATATCAAGTTAAACTTAGCCCCGCCCTCCCACCCGTTCTCTCGTTCTTTCTTCTAAATTAAGAAAAAAATCTTAAAGTAAATAGTATAACAAAGAAATTACGGTTAACCTTTTTTTTCTTTTTTAACAACCCCAGCATCATTCAACAGAGGATTATATAATTAACTCCGCCCACCCACCACACCTCCAATTCAGTGATTCGTGTAATCTAGTGTAAATGATAATGAATCCCATACTAAAAAGAAATAAAATTAGTCCTTACAATGAAAACACCATCGGTGGGTGGGAGGATTTAGTACTTGCTAAGATAAGACTGATTTTGGCAGATGACACCCTTTAAGAAAATAGAGGGCGGGTGGGCGGGCCTAGTACTTGCTAAGAATAAACTGAACAATATTAAGAATGGTCATTAGTATGAAGAGGAGACGGATGGGCGGGGCTACTGCTTGCTTATCAAAGACTCTACATGAAAAAGTTAAACTTAGCCCCCCCCTCCCACCCGTTCTCTCATTTTTTCTTCTAAATTAAGAAAAAAAATCTTAAAGTAAACAGTATAAAGAAAATACGGTTGGTCCTTTTTTTTCCTTTTTGATAGCCCCAGTGCCACTCTACAGAAGAATATATAATTAACCCCGCCCACCCACCACACCTCCAATTCAGTGATTCATATAATCAAGTCTGAATGTTAATGAATCCCATACTGAACAGAAATAAAATTAGTCCTTAGATTGAAAAGAGCGTCGGTGGGTGGGAGGATTTAGTACTTGTTAAGATAAGACTGATTTAGCAAATGACGTACCTTCCAAGAAAATAGAGGGCGGGTGGGCGGGCCTAGTACTTGCTAAGAATAAACTGAACAATATTAAGAATGGTCATTAGTATGAAGAGGAGACGGATGGGCGGGGCTACTGCTTGCTTATCAAAGACTCTACATGAAAAAGTTAAACTTAGCCCCGCCCGCCCACCCGTTCTCTCATTTTTTCTTCTAAATTAAGAAAAAAATCTTAAAGTAAATAGTATAAAAAAAATATGGTTGGTCCTTTTTTTCCTTTTTGATAGCCCCAGTGCCACTCTACAGAAGAATATATAATTAACCCCGCCCACCCACCACACCTCCAATTCAGTGATTCATATAATCAAGTCTGAATGTTAATGAATCCCATACTGAACAGAAACAAAATTAGTCCTTAGATTGAAAAGAGCGTCGGTGGGTGAGAGGATTTAGTACTTGTTAAGATAAGACTGATTTAGCAAATGACGTACTTTCCAAGAAAATAGAGGGCGGGTGGGCGGGCCTAGTACTTGCTAAGAATAAACTGAACAATATTAAGAATGGTCATTAGTATGAAGAGGAGACGGATGGGCGGGGCTACTGCTTGCTTATCAAAGACTCTACATGAAAAAGTTAAACTTAGCCCCCCCCTCCCACCCGTTCTCTCATTTTTTCTTCTAAATTAAGAAAAAAAATCTTAAAGTAAACAGTATAAAGAAAATACGGTTGGTCCTTTTTTTTCCTTTTTGATAGCCCCAGTGCCACTCTACAGAAGAATATATAATTAACCCCGCCCACCCACCACACCTCCAATTCAGTGATTCATATAATCAAGTCTGAATGTTAATGAATCCCATACTGAACAGAAATAAAATTAGTCCTTAGATTGAAAAGAGCGTCGGTGGGTGGGAGGATTTAGTACTTGTTAAGATAAGACTGATTTAGCAAATGACGTACCTTCCAAGAAAATAGAGGGCGGGTGGGCGGGCCTAGTACTTGCTAAGAATAAACTGAACAATATTAAGAATGGTCATTAGTATGAAGAGGAGACGGATGGGCGGGGCTACTGCTTGCTTATCAAAGACTCTACATGAAAAAGTTAAACTTAGCCCCGCCCCCCCACCCGTTCTCTCATTTTTTCTTCTAAATTAAGAAAAAAATCTTAAAGTAAATAGTATAAAAAAAATATGGTTGGTCCTTTTTTTCCTTTTTGATAGCCCCAGTGCCACTCTACAGAAGAATATATAATTAACCCCGCCCACCCACCACACCTCCAATTCAGTGATTCATATAATCAAGTCTGAATGTTAATGAATCCCATACTGAACAGAAATAAAATTAGTCCTTAGATTGAAAAGAGTGTCGGTGGGTGGGAGGATTTAGTACTTGTTAAGATAAGACTGATTTAGCAAATGACGTACCTTCCAAGAAAATAGAGGGCGGGTGGGCGGGCCTAGTACTTGCTAAGAATAAACTGAACAATATTAAGAATGGTCATTAGTATGAAGAGGAGACGGATGGGCGGGGCTACTGCTTGCTTATCAAAGACTCTACATGAAAAAGTTAAACTTAGCCCCGCCCGCCCACCCGTTCTCTCATTTTTTCTTCTAAATTAAGAAAAAAATCTTAAAGTAAATAGTATAAAAAAAATATGGTTGGTCCTTTTTTTCCTTTTTGATAGCCCCAGTGCCACTCTACAGAAGAATATATAATTAACCCCGCCCACCCACCACACCTCCAATTCAGTGATTCATATAATCAAGTCTGAATGTTAATGAATCCCATACTGAACAGAAACAAAATTAGTCCTTAGATTGAAAAGAGCGTCGGTGGGTGAGAGGATTTAGTACTTGTTAAGATAAGACTGATTTAGCAAATGACGTACTTTCCAAGAAAATAGAGGGCGGGTGGGCGGGCCTAGTACTTGCTAAGAATAAACTGAACAATATTAAGAATGGTCATTAGTATGAAGAGGAGACGGATGGGCGGGGCTACTGCTTGCTTATCAAAGACTCTACATGAAAAAGTTAAACTTAGCCCCGCCCGCCCACCCGTTCTCTCATTTTTTCTTCTAAATTAAGAAAAAAATCTTAAAGTAAATAGTATAAAAAAAATATGGTTGGTCCTTTTTTTCCTTTTTGATAGCCCCAGTGCCACTCTACAGAAGAATATATAATTAACCCCGCCCACCCACCACACCTCCAATTCAGTGATTCATATAATCAAGTCTGAATGTTAATGAATCCCATACTGAACAGAAACAAAATTAGTCCTTAGATTGAAAAGAGCGTCGGTGGGTGAGAGGATTTAGTACTTGTTAAGATAAGACTGATTTAGCAAATGACGTACTTTCCAAGAAAATAGAGGGCGGGTGGGCGGGCCTAGTACTTGCTAAGAATAAACTGAACAATATTAAGAATGGTCATTAGTATGAAGAGGAGACGGATGGGCGGGGCTACTGCTTGCTTATCAAAGACTCTACATGAAAAAGTTAAACTTAGCCCCCCCCTCCCACCCGTTCTCTCATTTTTTCTTCTAAATTAAGAAAAAAAATCTTAAAGTAAACAGTATAAAGAAAATACGGTTGGTCCTTTTTTTTCCTTTTTGATAGCCCCAGTGCCACTCTACAGAAGAATATATAATTAACCCCGCCCACCCACCACACCTCCAATTCAGTGATTCATATAATCAAGTCTGAATGTTAATGAATCCCATACTGAACAGAAATAAAATTAGTCCTTAGATTGAAAAGAGCGTCGGTGGGTGGGAGGATTTAGTACTTGTTAAGATAAGACTGATTTAGCAAATGACGTACCTTCCAAGAAAATAGAGGGCGGGTGGGCGGGCCTAGTACTTGCTAAGAATAAACTGAACAATATTAAGAATGGTCATTAGTATGAAGAGGAGACGGATGGGCGGGGCTACTGCTTGCTTATCAAAGACTCTACATGAAAAAGTTAAACTTAGCCCCGCCCCCCCACCCGTTCTCTCATTTTTTCTTCTAAATTAAGAAAAAAATCTTAAAGTAAATAGTATAAAAAAAATATGGTTGGTCCTTTTTTTCCTTTTTGATAGCCCCAGTGCCACTCTACAGAAGAATATATAATTAACCCCGCCCACCCACCACACCTCCAATTCAGTGATTCATATAATCAAGTCTGAATGTTAATGAATCCCATACTGAACAGAAATAAAATTAGTCCTTAGATTGAAAAGAGTGTCGGTGGGTGGGAGGATTTAGTACTTGTTAAGATAAGA